GGGGACTGCTCGGAAACCCTCGCGCCGTCTGAGAAGTTGCCTGTGTCTTCGGGGAAGGCCCGGGAAACTTCTCGGAAGGCTGGGGGGGCTGCCGAGCCTTCTGATGAGGCCCGCCTCCCCTCGTTTCCTCCCATGCTCGCCGCCGGCTTCTGTCACGTCTTGGTTTCCTCTCTCCTGCAACATGGTGCGACGGCATGTTGGAGGGAGCTTGCTCCAGAAGCTGGAGGAGGCCTCCAAAAGAGGGGGGCATCTATGCTCTCTCCTCGTCTTCATCCTCCTGCGTCTCACTGTTCCTCCCTTCGTCAACCGTTTCTCATCAGATTCTCCTCTTTTTCCCAACCATCGTGTGGTGTTGGGTCCTCTTTTTGAAGTGACCTCGCCCCGCGTTCCTTCTCCTCCTCCTCTCGTTTCCTCCTCCCCCTCCTCCCGCCTCCTCCCTGCGTTTCACCCACCCAGTACAACGCTTCGTGGCCCCATACGCAGCTCCACCGAAAGCTCCAGTGGCTGCGTTCGCATGGTGGCCTCGGGCCATCTCGGCACACCCCTCACGAGGATCGTGGCCCCATAGGGAGCTCCACCGAAGGCTCCACTGGCTGCGTTCGCATGGTGGCCTCGGGCCATTGCGGCACACCCAGTACAGCGCTTCGTGGCCCCATAGGAAGCTCCACCGACGGTTCCAATGGCTGCGTTCGCATGGTGGCCTCGGGCCATTTCGGCACACCCCTCACGAGGATCGTGGCCCCATAGGGAGCTCCACCGAAGGCTCCACTGGCAGCGTTCGCATGGCGACCTCGGGCCATGTCGGCACACCCCTCACGAGGATCGTGGCCCCATAGGGAGCTCCACCGAAGGCGCCACCGGCAGCGTTCGCATGGCGACCTCGGGCCATTGCGGCACACCCCTCGCGAGGACCGTGGCCCCATAGGGAGCTCCACCGAAGGCTCCAGCGGCTGCGTTCGCATGGTGGCCTCGGGCCATTTCGGCACACCCCTCACGAGGATCGTGGCCCCATAGGGAGCTCCACTGAAAGCTCCAGTGGCTGCGTTCGCATGGTGGCCTCGGTCGGGCCATTTCTGCACACCCGGTACAACGCTTCGTGGCCCCATACGGAGCACCACCGAAAGCTCCAGTGGCTGCGTTCGCATGGCGGCCTCGGGCCATTTCGGTACACCCCTCACGAGGATCGTGGCCCCGTAGGGAGCTTCACCGAAAACCCCGGTGGCAGCGTTCGCATGGCGGCTTCGGGCCATTTCGGCACACCCCTCACGAGGAGCGTGGCCTCCACCGAAGGCGCCAGTGGCAGGATTAACATGGCGGCATCGGGCCATTTCGGCACACCCCTCACGAAGATCGTGGCCCCATACGGAGCTCCACCGAAGGCGCCAGCGGCAGGGCTCGCATGGCGGCTCGGGCCATTTCGGCACACCCCTCATGAGGCTCGTGGCCCCGTAGGAGCTCCACCGAAAGCCCCAGTGGAAGGGTTCGCATGGCTGCCTCGGGCCATGACGGCACACCCCTCACGAGGATCGTGGCCCCATGGGGAGCTCCACCGAAGGCCCCAGTCCCCAGTGGCAGGGTTAGCATGGCGGCCTCGGGCCATTTCGGCACACCCCTCACGAGGATCGTGGCCCCATAGGAGCTCCACCGAAGGCTCCACTGGCAGCCTCCCTCATGGCTCTCAATGCCCTCTCCTGCTTCTGCTCCTCGGTCAGGGGGGCGCCGTCCTCGTCGTCGTCGGCGCCCGCGAACACGGCCACGAACGTATCCCTGAGCATGTCGAGTTCCGGCGGGAAGTTAGGGCCACATCGGGAGCGCGGGCGAAGATGTTATTCACAAGTGCGGTAGTCACAACTGCGTATGGTTGGGTCTTTCGCCAGGCCAATTCCTCCCTGAGGGCGCGACACAGCAGCGTCAGAGCACGATGGGTATGTGTCGCGACCTCTTCTAGGGCGCAATCTGTTAGGGATGCGCCAGTCAATCGTCCTTTCCTCTTCCCTTCCACTCCTGTTCCTCCTTCGTTCCCGCGTCCTCCCTCCATCCCTGGTTTTGGGGAAACCAAAAGGTACCGATACCGCTATTCCCCGGACCTCTCCCGGGGTGCGTTCTGACCAGGATTTTGAGGCGAATCCAGCGGTGGCGACGACGGATACCCAGGAGGCCCCCAAAAATGGAAAACGAGGGGAGGGTAGAGGTAAGGGTACCTTTTCCTCCTCTGAGGTTTTCTGTCCTCCATGATCCCCTTCTCCTCGCCTACCTGCAAGACTCACCGGCACCACGGGTGCGGGCAATCATTATATCCACATCCAGTGCGTCTTGGAGTCTTGGGTTCTCTTCCCCAGAATCCGTAAACGCACTGGATATGGATAAAAATCTGGCCCCAAGAGGCTTGATTTTATCCATATCCAGTGCGCCTCGGCGTTGCGGCACCTCTTCCCAAAAAGTCCAAGACGCTCTGGATATGGATATAAGTACTGCCCGTCACGGGGAGGGCCGGTGCCACAGGGAGCTACCGTGTGCAAGCACATCCTCGGGCCTGCCCGCCGCCTCCCCACGCGGAGGTCGTAGCAGCGTTTTCCCGGGGGGCCTCTTGAGGCCTCTTGGACGGCCTCCGCGGGCGTCCTGGGCTCAGTGGGCCCCGGAAGCGACAAGGCCGTTTTTTTTAGAAACTGTGAAAAAACGGCCCTGTCGTTTCCGGGGACCACTAACTAAGGTCCTGGGGACGTGGGAGAAGGTTTTTGGGGACATCTTGGGGGGGGACTGGCTTAATGGGCCCTGGAACCGACAAAGCCGATTTTGTTGCCGGTTCCGTTTTGCCGGTTTTTTGCCGGTTCCGCCGCCGGTTTGTTACCGGTTCCGTCGCCGTTACGGGTTCCCGCTCTGGACCCAATCCTGGAGCCGTTTTTATTGCCGTTTCCGGTCGCCGTTTTTTTGCCGTTTCCATTTTCAAGGGGCACTTTTTCGGAAACGGTGAAAAAAGGCCCTGCCGTTTCCGGCGCCCACTAAGGTCCTGGGGACGAAGGAGAAGGTTTTGGGAACTTCTGGAGGGGGCACTGGTACAGTGGAGTGAGAGTCCCTCGGGGGCCTCACTTGCGACGGCGTGGGCGAGGAGCGCAGGTGTGAACTCCCGCTGGAGGGCGTGGGGGACGTGGACTCCCACTGCGGAGCCGAAGAGGATCTTGTCTCAAAAGTTGGACTGTAAGGATGCCGAGCATGGCGACATCGCTCTCGCTTCATCGCCACGCAGCTGTTCCTTGCATGCTGCCCTCCTTCGCGGGCGTCGCGAACAGATTTGCCTCGTCATGCTCGGCGAGGGCTGTCGAGGAACGCGAAACAAAGAGATAGCATAAACATTAACTTTTGGCGATCCACTCCGGACCCACCTCCCAGGCGCGCGCAGCGCGCCAGGGGCGGCGCTGGAGGCGCCGCGGGGGCGGGCCCAGCGCGGATCCAAGAAATCCGCGCGGAGCGCCAAACGTTCACGTTTGTGGCGTTTTGCTTTTCTTCGAGACCCGCGAGAGGACGTCGACGAGAGTGCTCAGGCGGAGGGCTTCTGGTGTGGTGCTGAGGCGCAGCGCGTCTGCCCCAGCGTTCCCTGCTGAGCCCCCCGCTCGATGATGGGCAAGTGTTCCGCCACCCCTACCATGTGTAGGACGGGGGGGAAGGGAGGATGAGGAGGTCCTCCTCCTCCTCCTCCTCCTCCTCCTCCTCCTCCTCCTCCTCCTCCCCCTCCTCCTCCTCCTCCTCCTCCTCCTCCTCCTCCTCCTCCCCCTCCTACCTGTGGTGGTGGCGGTGGAAGAGGAGCCCGCCCGAGGCTCCGAGGCCGCTCGGCCGCCACAGGGGCCGCCGCGCGCGGCCGCCGCAGGAGCCGCCGAGCGGCGGCTCGGAGGCCTGGGCGGGGGCCGCGGGCACGGCCGCGGGCACCAGGGCCCGCTGGCGATGTGGATGCCACGGCGATGGACACCCTGACGGTCCTATACAGTCGGGGCCGTGGCCTGAGGAACCCAACATAAGGAACGGGGCCCCTATGTTCCATGAGCTGAACTTCGATTTCCGATCGAAAACATAGAGAACACCTGAGGCAAGCCACGAGGATGGACACCCCGACAGTCCTATAGAGTCATCGGCCTGACCTAAGGGACGATAGATAAGGAACGAAGCCCCTTTTATATCCCAAGGAATAGCGCATGAGGAACGAAGAGTAATAGATAACGCACAAGGGGCTGTACATAACGCATGTAAAACCTGAGGAACGACCGAGCCCCTTTTGAAAAGTAAGCGTTCCTTAGTCAAGCCGATCACTGTAGTTGAATTTAAGCAGTGTTTCACTAGCCAGCCTCGAGCGTATCCCTATTCGTATGACTCACAAGCCCAAAGTCGACGGCAGTCTTCGGGATGCGCCCTCAGGAACGGAGGGGATCCCTGAGAACGGCATCGAGATGAGGCGATGCCAATCCTAGGCATAGGGATGTGTTCCAGGCTGGCGAATGGCATGTCGGAGAAATGCTCTAAACATGCTTTACATACGTGTCTACATGCTTGAGACATGTTCAACACATGTTCATGTGGAAAGTATATGGCAACATGCTTCCTCTCCGATGATCGTCCTCCGCAACGCTAGTGAGCGCTCGATCCAGAGTCCGCCGTTCGGCGGCCGAGCAACGCCCCGAATTGTCTTCTGCGGCAGCCCATGGGAGCCTCCTATACAATCTTTTTGACTCTTGCGAATCGACGCTCGTCGACGCTAGCCGACGAGCTCGACGCTAAATCTAATCTTGCCGACGCTAGCCGACGATACATCGGCGCTACCTCATCGCCTCCCAGACACCATCCACGCGAACCGACACTAAAGACGGAATTAAGAGGGTATACCAGACTCCCATGAGTCCGTTCGGCGCCGAACAGCGCCCCGAATCGTCCAGGCACGCATTGCATCCTCGAACCTCGATCCACGGAAGCCCTTGCCATGGCCTCAATCCCGCTGGCGCGTGCAAAGAGCAGGCTCACGAGAGGAGTGCAATGTCGAACAGGAAAGGCAGCTGGTCGAAGTTGTCCGCGAGGCCCTCCTGGCCGCGCGCGCCGACTGCACGACTGGTCGTGTCGTGACGACGTCGGCGTTGGTCTGTGATGCAGCGTCGATCGTTCACCCTTGACCGATCGCGGCTCCCCGACAGCGCAGATCCTCCGATGCAGGCCACTTCCAGTCCACCTGCGGCGTTCAACCTTGAACGCCTGCGCCAGGGATGCCGTCGCGTGACCACGTCACACAAACACCGCAGTCCTGGTTAAACCAGGACTACGGTAGCCGGGTGCGTCTGCAGCCCAAACCAGGTTTGGGCTGCAGACCCACCCGGCCTTCTGGCGTAGTTAGTTTAAGAAGCTACACCCCTGCTCGCAGTGAAGAAACTGAAGCTGCGAAAATGGACTTCACTCTCAGCGTCTTCTTGGACGGTAGTCCAGGTCCAGATATACGATAACCATGGGACACAATGCAGCTCCCAGCGAACGCCCAGAGCCCAGTCCAGAGCCTGGATTGCCGGAATCGAAAGCTGGAGTCCATCGAAGCGGATGTCATAGTTCCGCGGGTGATTTCTGACGGGTGCCACAGTCGTGGCACTGCAAGATAGAACATCAAATAAAAAATAATCGGCGGTGGACGAACCTCCCTTTAGTAAACCTCCCCTGAGTGAAAACGGCCTGGGGCCGAAACCGACGGACCTGGACCCGCAGAATGACGGCCGCGACGCCCTCTCGCGAGCCGAAAACGGCCAATTCGTTAATCGACGTGTCAGGGTAGGAGGTCTACCCACCCCCGACATGAAGGGGCGTTTCCGGGCCTCGTCCACGAACAAGTTCCCCGACCTGGACCCACGGAACGGCCCGAACGCCCGAGCACCCCCTGAGCCCGGAGTGGTCCTCATGTCGGCGCCTCGACTGCGGCTGGCTTCGGGAGTTCGGTGTTCGGGCCTCGCTCTCCCTCGTCGGGCAGGGGCTGACCTCTCCACTCGCCCTCTCCCTTGGTCTGGGAGATGACCCAAGATGCCTTCCACTATGCCTGCCAAGATGACACAAAATAGCCCCAAATGGATGGCTCTAGATATCCTCGCACATGCCTCACAAAACCATCACGACCGTCCCGAGACGGATACAAGTGGCCACAGGACCTCCCGAGAACCCCACATGAATGCCCAAACCCTTGCACCCCCCACAGGAAATCGATGTGTGCTGTGTCTTCTGCTGGCGAAGGCCCGGGGAGGACAGACACTTCCAAAAAGCTCCCGTCGCGACTCTGTGACGGGAGGCGTGCCTGGGAGACAAGGAGCTGTGGGGCCCGCGTGGGCTCGCTTTGCCCCGGTCCCCCCCCCCCTCTTGGCCGCCCTCGACGATGGCCCACTGCGAAACCGCACGTTCCAGGGCGCAGTGGGCTGCCAGGCCCCTATCGGCGACGAATGGGGCGAGTGGGAGTGGATGCTCCCCATCTCTGAGCCTATCCTAAAACAGGGCTGGGATCGGGATAAATCGCTCCAGAGCGTTCTGGAGCGCCCTCAGAGCGTTCAGGAGCGCTCTGGAGCGGCCGCGGCGCCCAGTACATCCTCCAAACCCGCCGACTCTCATAGATTTCGAATTATCCCGATCCGATTCTGTCGCGATCTTCGCGTCGTTTTAGATCCCCCCCGAGAGAGTCCTCGTCGTTCAGCCGTCGTGCCGAAGCTTTGGTCTCCGGCGGCCGCTGCGCGACGATCCGGGCAGGCCCCGGATCGTCCCTCTGCGAGGCCCCGCTGCTGGAGAGCACCCCGAGGCTGGAGCGCCGCCTGGAGCCGGGGAACCCCGCCGGAAAAACTTTCGACAAAAAACCCTCCTCCTCCTCCTCCTCCTCCTTCTCCTCCTCCTCCTCTTCCTCCCGCTCCTCCTCCTTCTCCTCCTCCTTCTCCTCCTCCTCCTCATCCTCCGCTTCCTCCCCCCACTCCTGGCCCTTTCGATCAGGGTCGGCGGCACCGGCCGTCGGGCCTCTCCAATAGGGGAACAAACAGTGGCACAAACATAAAAACTCAGAGGTCCGCGCGGCTTTCCCTAGGGCTCCCAACTTCGCGCTTCGCGCTGCGCGAAGCGCGAAGCGCGAATAACTTCGCGCTCTCGCGCCGCCCTCCCAAAGGGAGAATAGGAGGACGAGGAGGAGGGGGAGAAGGAACGAGGACCGCGAAGCGCGAAGCGCGAAGAACTTCGCGCCCTCGAGGGAGCCCTTGGCTTTCCCGGGTCGACGCTGGGGCCCCCCGGCGGCGCCTCCAGCGCCGCCCCTGGCGCGCTCCACGCGCCAGGGAGGGGGGCCCAGCGCCGATCCGAGAAATCCTCCTCCTCTCCTCCTCCTCCTCCTCCTCCTCCTCCTCCTCCTCCTTCTCTCCTCCTCCTCCTCCTCCTCCACCTCAGACTTTTTATGCTTATGTCACTTTTGGCTCCCCTGTGAAAACCTTCGGGGGCGATCGAGTGCCGATTCTGTCCCCCTCGGTCGGGGGCGCGCAAACGTGGAGTAGCGATCCATGGATCTGGCGCGAGGTCGCCAAATCCATGGATCGGGGGAGTCGCCCTCCCCCAAATGCGGCCAGTACCGGCGCGTTCGGCGGCGGGAATCCGCGAGTTCCCGTGGAAACGGGACCCGTCGCCAATCTACGCCCCCTTGATCCATGTTTGCGATCGCCTGAGACAACTGCGAGGCGGGGATCGCCTGAGAAAACTGCGAGGCGGGGATTTGTCCATCTCCACCGCCTGGGAACCTACGTCCTGGTGCCCCAGCGTGCGGTGGATGTGGATATTTTTTTGGCCCCATGGGGGCCCGAATATGTCCACATCCACCGCCTGCCGAGGCTCCGAACACTGACCCTCCAGGCGGTGGATATGGACAACTTCCCGCCTCGGAAAAACCTTCGGGGGCGATCGAGGGTCGATGCTTCACCCTCGGGTGGGGGAGAAGTGAGATGGGCAGGCAGGCCTTCTCAGAACTCGGCGGGGCTCCTCGGCAGCCCGCGGGCCTTCTCGATGGTCAAGTCGGGCGTGTCCCCCCAAAGGGGGATGTTGGGCGAAACGCAAAACATACTCTGAACATGCCCTCCCCGATGGGCAAAAACAGTCAAAACATAGTCCCCGGACTATTTTCTGACTATTTTTAAATCGGGCGTGTCCCCCTACAGGGGGATTTTCGACGAAAAGTAAACAATACTCAAAAGATGTTCCAACATTGTCGAATAATGCTCCAAAAATAGTCCCCAGACTATTTTTAACTATTTTTGAATATTCCCCCTGTAGAGGGACATGCCCGACTTAAGACTGTTTCTGAATCTCCCCCCTGTAGGGGGGCACGCCCGACTTAACTCCAACTCCAGAGAAGGCCCAGACAATTTCTCAGACGGCCAGAGGCCTTGCGAGCCTTCCGAGAAGGCCCGCCCCCTGTCAGATGGACAACTTCTGCGGCGACACCGATTCGGGAGCGGCCAAGAGGGGGGTGTCCAAAAAGGGGGGGTGCAAATCATGGCCGGCGGCATGTGCGCGGCCCAGGGGGGGGCCAGGGACGTAATGAAATGAGAAGAGGCGCCATGAAATCTAAGGAACTATCATGGCCCCCGCCATGATATCCAACCCCCCCTAGTCATCACCCCCCTCTTTGCCGCCCCCGACCGATGGCGAACCCTGTTCCACATGCTCAGGAACTGGTGCCGGTCTTCGTGCCCATTCTTCCTGTACCCGTTGCGTTCCAAAGGCTCCCAACTTCGCGCTTCGCGCTGCGCGAAGCGCGAATAACTTCGGGCTCTCGCGCCGCCTCCCGGGGGAGAAGAGGAGGAGAAGGAGGAATCGGAGCCGAACCGCGAGGCGCGAAGCGCGAATCACTTCGCGCCCTCGAGGGCGGCCTTGGCCTTCGTGCCGATTCCCCGGCGTTGCCCCTCAGAGGCAGCGCAGGTCCCTTCCTCGGCTCGGAAGTAGACGCCCCACAAGCCCGTCGGGCTGGCCGTCTGCCGCACCTCCGTGGCCTTCCACAGGGCCTGCTGCGGATGAGGGGTGACCGAGGAGAAGGACTGGGGAGGATACAGGAAGGGGAGGAGCATCGTGGAGGGGGATCGGGGAGAAGGATCGGGGAAGAGGATCGAGGAGGAGGATCGCGGAGGAGGATCGGGAAGGAAGGTCTAAGAGTCTGGGAGGAGGCGGAGGCAGCAGAGGCGGAGGAGAAGGAAGAGGGCGGCGGCCGAACAGCTTATGGTCCCTGAATGCTCCTCGAAGCAACAATCGACAGCTGGGCGCACCGTAGCCCTGGCGTTGTCAAACCTGCGAAGCTGCCCCTCCCCCCACCCAAGGGCTCAAACCCAGCAATGGGGACTCCACTGGGTATGCTGTGGGTCGAGAAGCTGTTACCCTACTACAGAACTCGAACATTCAGCACCGCAGGATAACTTCTGCAGCCGCTGCCTTCTCGAATGATGAGGCTCGAGAAGGAGCTCGAAGAGGAGGACCCACAATCCGCAGGGTAGGGGCCCTCTGTGAGCCTCGCCTCCAGAGGGAGGGAGGAGGAGCTCGAGGAGGAGGATCGGAATCTTTGTACGACTCGCGAGCTCTTTGCTGACCTCTGGAGGCCTCCAGGAAGGGCGTGGAGATAGGCGCGACGACAAGCGGGCCTTCTCCTCCACATCCTCCCTCTCCTTCGCCTCCTCCTTCCTCCTTCTTCTTCCTTCTCTTCCACCTCCTACTCCTCCTCCTTCTTCTCCTCATCATTCTCCTCCACGTTCTCCTTCTCTCGGGCCGGACGAAAGGGGGGATTGGGAAAGGGGGGGGTGCGAAAATTGCTGCATCCAGCTGGTTTCGGCCCAACCGAGGGGCCCATTCCTCGATACATAGCCGCCTCCGGCGCCAGGAAGATCAGCTACGTGAGCTGATTCTCAAACACCCCCTTTGCTATCCCCCCCTTTCGCCCGACCCGATTCTTCTCCTCCTCCTCCTCCTCGTCCTCGTCCTCCTCCTCCTCCTCCTTCTCCACCCGCTCATCCATCTTCTTCTCCTCGTCCTCCTCCTCTGTCTCCTCCTCCTCCTCCTCCTCCTCCTCCTCCTCCTCCTCCTCCTCCCATTCCTGGTCTTCGGGGAAGCCCTCTCGCCGCAATCGGCTGGACCCGGCTCGGGTGAGCGGGCGACAGATAAGGTGCAAGAGACAATCTGCGCCGCCTCCCCCGCTTGCCCCCGACCCCCGCTTACAAGGGGAGGGCTCTGGGGGCACGTTTCTTGCATGGATCTTGGCCGTGGGTGGTCGTCGTCGCTGTCGTCGTTGCCTCCCGCGGGGGCGAGAGCGTCATTCTGAAGGATGGCAGCAAAGCGTCGATCCTATAATGAGGACACCGCTGCATCGGGAACACCACTGGGTGGTTCCAAGACGGGGTCCTGAGGGATGGGGTCCTGAGGACGAGGTGCCTCGAACAGTGCCAATCCCCCCTCGAATCCCGTCCCATCCCTCTAGGATTGTGGATGCCACGACAATGGACACCCTAACAGCCCTATCATTGAATTAAAACGTTTAATTTGTTGGAAAATATTATAAACATGTTGTCAACCATGCTTGTTACATGTTCAAAATATGTGCTGAACATGCTTAAACGTCTGGAAATTATTGGCAGCACGCTTCCCCTACATTGATCGTCCTCCACACCTATAGGGCCCCATCCCTCAGGACCCCATCTTGGAACCATCGAACCATCTTCGAGACACCGAAAACACTCCGACTGAGACAACCGACCGTGAGCCACGCCTCATTTTGAAGCCCGGTGCGTGAACACAAACCATGCGCGGAGGGGGGCGGGCCACTCCCTGGCCATCTTCGGGGGCGAGCGGAAGGCTGTACTCATACTGACTGCCTGCCAGACCACCCCAACCCAACCCGAAGATCCGAAATTTGGGTTCGGGGGGAGGTGCGGGTTCCATCTGTGTTTTTTCAATGTTCCCCGATCCCCCACCCCACTGGGAATGGAGGCCAAATTGAAGCCTTCGGGTGGGGTTGGGGTGGTTAGGTGGGTGGTGACATACACTATGCGGGCGCGGCCGCAGGAAGCCCTCGCAAGAACACCCGGCCCTGAAAACCCGCGCGCGAGGTGCACCCGAGGTGAAGATCCGTAGCGCCCTGAACGCAGCAGCTCCTTCAACGGCAGCGGGGAATCGCCGCGCCGCGCGCGGAGCGCAGAAACCCAGGGCACCCGGACGAAAAGCAAATATGGTGGCTTCTGGGTGCGCGCCCCCGCCTGTGCTGAACAATGCCGCATCGCTCCTGAAGCGGCCACCCCGCCCGGAGAGAGGTCTCCCCGGCCACTTTCAGATTTGCTGCTCGCGCTGTCAATGCTCTGCTCTCGTAGGGCTTTGCAGCGTCGTCCGCACCTTGCTTCTGCATGTCCGAGCTCCGCAGCTGCCTCCACGCCCTCCTGTGCTCAGCTGCCTTCTTGCTCTGGTGGACACTGCGCAGGCCCGAGGAAAGCTTGAGAGCTCCCTTCCAGTGCGTGCTTGCGCAAGGGGCACTTCAGGCGGCGTCGGCTTCTCGCCGTCCGCAGCCCGCCTGCAGTTGCCGCGGTCCTTTCTTCCGTCGTGCCGTGCTAAGCTGCGCTGTGGCAGCGTGCCGCGGTCCTTTCTTCCGTCGTGCGCCCCTCCGTCGGTCGCACGGCAAGGGCGCCTCATGCTCTGGCTGCTCCCTTAGCGTTTAGCTCCCAGCCCAAAGAGGAGCGAAGGGCGCGCGCTGTCGCTTGTAGATCGGCGCCCGACGCGGACACGCGTCGATGCGGTGTGTGTGTGTGTGTGTTTATGTGCATGTGTGTGTGGGTGTGTGCGTGTGCGTGTGCGTGTGCGTGTGCGTGTTCGTGTGCGTGTGCGTCTGCGTGTGGAAGTGGGTGTGCGTGGGTGTGTCTGTGTGTGCGTGTGTATGAGTGTGTATGTGTGTGCGTGTGGGTGTGTGTGTGTGTTGGGGGGGCTCTCTTTCTCTTCCCACTCGTCTTCACGTGCAATGCGGAGTAATTAACATGTGTATGTTATGAAAAGAACAAGGGCTACTTGCCAACGAAGAAACACGGATCAGCCCGAACGCCTGGCCCACTGGCGCACGTCGGCAGGACCATATATGATGCCACTGGCTCCCATATTTGCCCTGCGTTTGTTCCATCCGCCAGCGCAGTCACTCTGCCTAGCCGCCGACGCAAAAAAAGTATGTGAGTCTCGCCCGCTCTCACCCTCTCTCTCTCTCTCTCTCGCTCTCCCGTTGTTTGTTTTTATATATATATATATATATATATATATATCGGCGCCTGTGACGAGTTCTATTCGGTGCGTACTGCCTGAAACAAAACCTGGCCCTACTTGAACAAAACAAACTCAAACCTGGGAGCTGGAACCTCACCTTTGTCTCAGCATGCGTCGATCACGCAGGTCAATGCTGGATCACGGGATGATGCTGTATGATACAGAATGGGTGTCTGCCTCATCTGGATCATGTATGCCTGATGTGATCCAGGCGACCAGCCCTCCTCTTCCTCATCATCCTCGTCGCCCTCCAGTAACAGCCAGAAGAGCGTCACAGCAACATGAAGCATCTGCATTGCCACGAGAGGCCTGCTGCACAGAGTCCGCTCAGGGAGGCCCGCGCCCCCCTTCCACGTAGACAGCAGTCATCTGGTCTCGTCTCCTGCCCGCTCTGAATGCTTTGCGTCATTACGCGCTGAAGTCTGCCACTGTGCTGCATGCGCTGAGTGGAGTGTCCTAGACTTAAATAAGCATCTTCTCGATAAAACACAACTGCCAGGTGAATTTATTTCTATCAAAAAGTCTATAAATCTAATGTTTCTGATTCTACGACTGCGAGCAACTATTCAATCGAAATTTAATCGACACATGTACTCATGGTTATCGAGAAGATGCCTACTTAATCCTAGACCTCAGGACCCTCCGGATACAACGGCCCTGGACCTGCTCTTGGTGTGTGCCGCTGGACTGTCCCCGACGCCTCGGTCGGGAGCGGCCAAGAGGGGGGGGTGTCCAAGACGGGGGGGTGCAAGTCATGACCGGCGGCAGGTGCGCGGCCCTGCGGGGGGGCCGGGGACGCCATGAAATAAGAGGAGGCGCCATGAAACCTAGGGAAATATCAAGGCCCCCGCCATGATATTCCCCCCCCCCGGTCCTCACCCCCCTCGTTGCCGCCCCCGGCTTGGGAGCGTGGTCCTACTTGAGCTGCCCTGGACCCTCCCGGGAGGCTCGTGAGCTGTCGTGGGGGCAGTCGGGTCACTCGGGGCAGGCCCTAGAGGCCAACACGAGTGATCACTGGATGTGAACCAGCGAAATTAGGAGGAGGGAGGAACGAGGAGGGAGGAAGGAGGAGGAAGGAGGGAGGAGCGAGGAGGGAGGAGACGACGACGCCTTTCGGTCTTGAGAGAGTCCGTCTTGCAAGAGTCCACAGAGAGTCCGCCAAGACCCGCCCCAGAAGGCCCACGAAGCCTTGATCTCTTCACACTCTGGGCCCCTTCCCCGGGCCTGGCTTTCAGGCCAACGCTGTTCTGTTGATAACGGCCATTTCCTATATTTTCCTTCCCGTGATGACAGTCCCGAGGCCCATGAAGGAAGCTTGTCGAAATCTACCCGCCGATCTTTTCCCAACGGGATGAGGTGTGAGATTTTGGAGCACTCCGAGATTGCGTCCGAGTGGACGGGTTTGGAGGATCGCGCCAAATCGTCGATGCATCGGCGACGTCAGCGTCACATCGGCAGCATCAGCGTGGAGAACATCGGACCCAGTTGGGAGGCCTGGAGATTCACGTTGCAACAGGAATTCAACATCGCGACAAATCGCGACGGAAACCCTGGACCCTAGCTTTCTGCTCACTCTTCGAGCCGGATCGATCTGAGAGGGTGCCAGGGTCGAAACCAAGGCAAACCACCGCCCATTGTGGCAAACTTGTAACGCCAGGACCTCCAGAGAGGTCTTGATTGGCGGCGCGCACAAGGGGGCAAGGAGGCGGGGGGGAAGGGGTTACTAGAAGGAGGCTGCTTCTCAGAAGGCGATGGCACTACATGCAAATAACGCCCGCGCCTTCTGAGAACCAGTGGTGCTTCTAAGCAGCCTCCCGACCTCCCCCTGCCCCCCTCTGCTCCAAGGGCTCCCAACTTCGCGCTTCGCGCTGCGCGAAGCGCGAAGTTCGGGGATGGACAGACCTCCCTTTAATAAAACGTGGTTTAGTGAAAACGACCTCGGGCCCAAACCTGGCGGGCGCAAGCCTGGAAAATAACGGCCGCGGCGCCCTCTCGAGAACCGGAAACGGGCAAGTCACTCATCGACGTGTCAGGGTAGGAGGCCTGCCCACCCCCGAGAAGTGCCAATAACTTCGCGCTCTCGCGCGGTCCCCCAGGGGAGAACAGGAGGAGGAGGAGGAGGAGGAGGAGGAGGAGGAGGAGGAGCAGCAGTGGACTCAGGAGGAGGAGGAGGAGGAGGAGGAAGAGGAGGAGGAGGAGGAGGAGGACGAGGAGGACGAGGAGGAATCGGAGCCGAACCGCGGAGCGCGACGCGCGCGCAGCTCTGCGCCCTCGAGGGCGCCCCTTGCCGCGCGGCCGCCCTGCGCCCTCGCAGCTCCGGCGCAGCGCCGACGTGCTGGCGCTGCTCCCCCCCGCAACAACGAAAGAGGCCCTGGGACACACAACCAAACACACACACACACACATACACACACACACATACACACACACACACAAATGGCAGGATGTCCAATCGTTTCCTATCTTTCCTGGGTTTTTGCCTTCCCCCCCCATCCCACTTCCTATCCTTTCCCAATATTTTCGAAGGCATCGGCGATGAATGGTGATTGTGGGTGTTTTTTCCTCTCCCGAACCACGCTCGAACGCTGCGGGTCGAGCGCCGGGCCCCGACAGGGACCCCTTCCAGGGGCCCGAGCGCACCGATGTCTGCCGTGCTGCGTCTCGCCGCGGCGGCGAGGGCCCCCCCCCTCCGGAGGCCAGCTGCACTCGGGAGGGACAGGAGCACACAGACGCAGTGAAGCGTCGACCCCCAGGCAGATATGGGGAACTATGGGAATAGGGGGGGAGGACGAGCACCCAGGAAAAATATATGGGAACACACGGTGGAATTCGGTGACTTGGGTCTGTATATTTTTGTGTCCCTGGGCCCCTCCCCGAAGGCCAGCTACACTCGGGAGGGACAGAAGCACACAGACACGGTGAATCGTCGACCCCCAGGAAGGTAGGGGGAAATATGGGAAGGGGGGGGAGGACGAGCACCCAGAAAAAATATAGGGGAACACATCGGGGAATTCGGTGACTTGTGTCTGTCTATGTTTGTGTGTCCGTGGGCCCCTTCATGCACGTCGGTCGGCAGAAGTGGGCACGGTAGGTTCGCGCGGCGTCGGCGCGCGCACAGGTGCTTGACACCGCGTCGATCGTTCATCCTTGAATCGATCGTTCAAGGTTCAATTCAGCCGGGTCCAGAGGCGTTACCGCGTCCCTCGGTGCTTCCGCGTCGCAGAACCCAACCTTGAACGCCTTCGCTGGCGTCGCTGGCGCGCCATCGTCGCCCGAACGTACGGTGGAATCATGAAGTGGGAGGCGGATGATGAAGTAGACTGGGTTCATGCCCGCCCATAGAACAGCAGAGAACACCTCGAAACCATGCCGACTCTCGAAGTAGGAAGGCGCTAGAAGTAGAGTGGGATCGTTTTTTTACCTTTTTACGATCTTTTTTACGACTCCTTTCAACGACCGACGGGTACCGCTGTGGCGGGTGGCCGGCCGGAGCCCAGACCCCCGACGTAGCGATTTTTTTCGCAGCTGTCGACCCCCAGAGGCCTCGACGCCCTCCCCCGAACGGGATCCTCATCCTGCGCCGTTCTTTGACAGCCCCAAGGCCTAGGAAAGGGCCCTCAGAGGCCGAAAATTACGAACAACATCCCGCCGTGACTTGTTATTTTTTTTGCACAACGCGAGGGGGTCTGGGAGGCTGGGTCTGGGAGGCCTGCGGTAGGCCAGGCATGTCCCAAAAACAAGGAAAATAGCAAAATCATGGCCACGAGCGGCCAGAAAATAGTCGACAAAGCATCCCCAGACTTTGTCTTTTGACTGTTTTTGGACACGCCTCCTGCGGAAGGACATGCCCGTCTTGAGGCGTGCGCCCGTCCTTGCGGCGGGCTCCGCGAGGACCCCCCCCTGCGGGCGGGTGCCGCCCCGCCGAAGCCCGCCCGCCCCGGGGGGCAGCGCGCACAGGCGCCTCCTCGCGGCCCTGGCTCAGGTTCCAGGCCGCCACCCTTCCGGTGGCCTCGACGCCGACGTCGTCGCCGTCGTCGTCGCCGACGTCGTCGTCGCGCCTTCGTCGTCGTCGTTGTCGCCGTCAACACCGACGTCGCCGTCATCGACGTCGTCGCCGTCGTCGTCGTCGTCGACGTCACCGACGTCGCCGTCGTCGTCGCCGACGTCGTCGTCGTCGCCGTCGCCGTCGTCGTCGTCGTCGTCGCCGTCGTCGTCGTCGTCGTCGTCGTCGTCGTCGTCGTCGTCGTCGTCGTCAACACCGACGTCGTCGTCGTCGTCGTCTCCGCCGCCGCCGCCGCCGCCACCGCCTTCACCGTCGTCGTCCCCGTCGCCGCCGTGGTCGTCCCCAGACCCGCTCGCGGACGATTCGCGGCATTCTTCGGCCACAGGGGGCTCTCGCCGGGCCGGGCGCAGGGGCCGTCAACAAAAATGACGCTGGCGACGTGCCCCACCCCTGCGCAATGCGGGGCAGGAGTTGCTTGGGAGATTTGACGGGAAGGCGGCGACGTGACATGGACGCATCTGCTTCTGCGAGCGGCATTCGGAATGTTCGCAGGCCCGCTCGCAGAAGTAGATGAGTCCATGCCACTCGCAGTCATGGCACTCAGGTCTGCGCAGTGCCTCACCCCGCTGGACCCACCGGCCCCCAATCAAGGGAAACACGATGAGTAACTAAGTGAACCCCTGAGTCAGTAAGGAAGACGCAAGGTCCAAAAGGAGACGGTGGGCAAGGGGCTTGAAACGTCGGGTGGGTGGCGGGGAGGTCGCGGGCTGGGTCTTAAGTGGGTCTAGGGTGGGTCGCGGGTGTGTCGCGGGTGGGTCGTGGGTGGGTCTTGGGTGGGTCTTGGGTGGGTCGCGGATGGGTCGCGGGTGGGTTGCGGGTGGATTGGGTCTTGGGTGGGTCGCGGATGGGTCGCGGGTTGGGTCGCGGGTGGGGCGCGGGTGGGTCGCGGGCGGGTCGTGGGTGGGTCGCGGGCGGGTCGTGGGTTGGGTCGCGGGTGGGTCGCGGATGGGTCGCGGACGGTTCGCGGGTGGGTCGCGAGTGGGTCGCGGGCCGGGTCGCGGGCCGGGTCGCGGGCTGGGTCGCGAGCGGGTCGCGGGGGGGACGGCGACAACATACAAGAGACAACAAACAGCACACAACAAACAGCAACCAACAACCAACACCCAACAGCAACAACAGCAGCAACAACAACATCAACATCATCAACAACAGCAACAACAACACCACCAACACCACCAACACTAACAACAACAACACCAACCATACCACCACCGTCAACAACACTTACAACAATTACTGAATCAATCCGCTTTGCCGAACCTCAACACAGTCACGCCTCCGGGGACAGTGAATGACCGTTCGCCTCCCTCACTCTGATCATTGCATCACGTATCTAATGCGCAGAGACTCTTGTTGGAGTCCACGTCCTGGTATCATCCTGGCGTGGAGCATCATCATATGCCCGATTGGATCTCGGGTCTGACTGCACGGTTCCCTTCCGCCCCAGGAAAGGGCGACAAGAGCTGCAAGGCTGTGGGCAAGCCAGCTTGGGAAGGATGGGCTGTCTCGCCTGGCTGCCTCTGGCCGCGCTGTGGAGGCTGACGCTGCTCTTCGGCCAGATTTCTCTCCCCTCAGAGCTTCCGAGGACCAACTGCGATGATCGAGAGCGAGAAGGTTGCGGAGTCGCGTATCCTTTCTTGGCACTCGCGCCATCACGAGCGCGGTTGGCGTATCGCTTACGATCAAGAGCTGCTCTTGCTCGTAGTGATTTGACGCATGCGAAGCTGGCTGCCCTCTCCCTCCCCGTCAGAACCATCTGGCACTAGAACGGGTAAGAACGCGAACAGCCAACCCCACCATGACACGACTGGCAAACAACACCAGCGTGGAACGGAAAACCGCTAGACAGGCCATGGCCGCGGCACGAACCGTTTGCGCGCTGCGTACAAACACCCATGGAAGCGCTAACGGCCAGTGATAACGCACACGAAAGTGAAGAGTAGGCGAGAGAGGAAGGAGCGATGACGCAGAGACACGCGTACGTACAAACATTTCTATATCAACAGCAAGACCCTTGGACTTGGGTGTAATGCGGGGGGCACCAAACACAAGAGCCAGAATCACATGGAGCCAGGCCGAGCAGGAAGATGTGGCGATGACTCTGGGACCGCGAGAGGAAAGCAGCGGGGCGCAGGGGGACCCTGAGATCCGACGTCGCGATGTTTTAGATACGGGGTCCCCGGAAGTCTCGACCCATTCCCCAGGACCGGCTTCTCATCCTCAGTCGTTTTGTGGACGGCCCCGAGGCCCGGCGAGGGCCCCTTGGGGCCGCACTCCGCGAAAAAATCCGCCTTGCTTTGTTCAACACGTGGGATCTCTGGGGGAGGACGAGAGGTGGAACAACGGGAGACGAAGAGCACTCGGCACAAATGAAGGGGCCCCAGGACACACAAATAAACACACACAAATAAACATATTCCCCATATTTTCCCATATTTTCTGGGTTTTTGTCTTCCCCCCAATCCCCATATTTTCCTATATTTTCCTGGGAGTCGACGATTAATTGTGTCTGTGTGTTTTTTTCCCTCCTGAACAAACACAACCTCTCGGTGGTCCGCGCGGGCCCCCTCGGGCCGGCGCAGGGGCCCCCCGCCGAGGCGCAGAGCCTCACGGGCGCAGCACGCACGACACGCGCCTCGGCCCCCACGCGTGCACCGCACGGGGCCTTCGTTCCCGAAGGGGAACGCCAAGGGAACACGAGGGGCGGGTGGGGCGGGGGAAACGCTCTTGGGGGGGGGGGGGAGCATCGACCTGGACGCTGGCAGCACTCACGACACGCGCCTCGGCCCCCACGTGTGCACCGCACAGGGCCTCGGCCCCGAAGGGGAACGCAAGGGAACACGAGGGGCGGGTGGGGCGGGGGAAACGTTCTTGGGGGGGGGGGAGCATCGACCTGGACGCTGGGCGGGGAGGGGGAAGCCTCGACCCTGAACCCCGGCGATGCCTCGTCGACGACAGAGGGGCGATGGGCCCCCGGCCCCCGATGGCGCAATCGAGCGCTCCTGGCCTGGGGGGGGGGGGGCCGTCGGGCCCCCCTCGGCGATGAAGGGGCGATTGGGGATCGAGGCGTCTCCCCCGGGAGCCCAGCCCCCCCCCACCCTGAGTGATCCTCGCAGGCGACACCAACGACCACCGTGGCGAGGAGAGGCGAGGAGCGGGGGCGGGCCCCCCTGGCGGGCCTCCCTGGCGGCGGGGCTCCCCCCCCTCTCTCGCTCGAGACACCCCCCAGCCTCCAGCTCGGGGGAGGCACCGTGGACCTCCTCGCTGGAAGCGTAAAACAGGGCTGGGATCGGGAAAAAATCGCTCCAGAGCGTTCCGGAGCGCTCTCAGCGCGTTCTGGAACGCTGTGGAGCGGCCGCGGCGCCCAACACATCCTCCAAACCCGCCGATTCTCAGAGACTTCGAGTTATCCCGATCCGATTGTGTCCCGATCTTCGCGTCGTTTTAAAGCGGCCCCCCTGGTGGTGATGGTGCCGCGCCTCCTCCTTCCGCGACGTCTGGCCCTCGGGCCGCGGCTCGGGCCCGCGGCGGCCGCCCGGGGAGGCGCTGGGCAGCCCCGGGGCGCCCCTCGGCGAGGCGCCGCGGCCGGAGAGAGCGCCCCGAGGGCGGAAGAGCCGCCGAGGGCCGGCGAGAACGCCCGCAGGCCGCCAGCCCCGCGCCTCGAGGCTCCCCCCCCCCCGCCCCCCTTGGTTGACCCCCAGAGGGGGCTCGACGCACTCCCGGGGGGCCAGGGTTCCCATCACGAGCCGCTGCCCGACGGCGGTCCTGGGGCCGGGCGCCCCGCAAACACACGGCCAGAGCACACACACACACATGCACACATGCATACACACAGACACATACACATATACACATACACACATATACACACATAGACACATACAAACATAAACACGACACACAGCACACACCACACAACACACAACACATAACACACAACACACAACACGCACACGCGCGCACACACACAACACACACAACACACACACACACACACACACCGCTGTGATGTTTCACGGCGCGAGCAGGTCTGGGCCTGTCCCCCCCCCCGCGCAGCGCTGCCCCCTGGGGCCTCTGGAGGCCGACGCCGACGACACACCAGCCAGAGCAGCTTTCTGCAGCGCGCGGGGGCGAAGCTGCTGTGAGCCCACAGCGAGTTGCTCTGAGATAATCCTGCGAGCCCACCAGGGACCGATCGCCCCGACACTCCTGTGAGCCCACAGCGAGTTGCTCTGAGACATCCCTGCGAGCCCACCAGGGACCGATCGCCCCGACATTCCTGTGAGCCCACAGGGAGCTGCTCTGAGAACGGGCGAACTGCCGAAAGACAGGCAATCACTGCTTTAGAACGTGGTGCCTGATCGTGATGCCGATGGATTGAATCAGCACTGTCTGAGCCAAAAATGCTGTAGCAACAGTTCGTGCGGGCCACAAGCGGTTCTGAGAACATTCTCTGGTGGGCTTGTAGGCACGTCAGGACTCTTCGCCACTGCCTGACGACGGCCGGCCGCGGGCGGGGAGCGCTGCGGAGCAGGGCTGCGCGGCATGGGCCGGCCTCCTGGATGGACACGCGGAACTCCTGCCAAGAACCGCCTGCCCTCGCCCGCGCCGTGTTTGCCGCGAGGGGCAGGGTGAGCCAACATCGAATACGGAAATCGTGTACGTCGGATCCGGCTGCATCGACACGTGAAATGCACGCATGTACGTTGGGACGGTCTGTACGTACATACGTGCAGGAATGCATCGAGATGTAACATGTAGGTGCGTCGGATCGATATTTACGTCGGATCGATCTGTACGTCAGATCGGAACGAAATTCACGTCGGATCGGGCTGCATCCGCTCGGAGCCATCACCAAAGCAGATCGGCCCCGCCAAGATGAACAACAGCGCCATGCGAGACGGCGGGCCGCATCTGATCGTCCAACATATCAGGATCGAATCGGACCAGGCGGACCAGCAGGCGCCCTAGAGCTGCCAGAGGGTCCTCAGGAAGCCCCCCCAAGCCTCATCCATTGACTTCGTGCCTCTTCGGGGTGTCGGCGGAATGGCGTGGGCCTCTTGCCTCCCGTCTCCTCAGACTGCAGCGGAGCGTCTCGGCAGTCCGAAAGGACGGGCGTGTGACGCAAGGGCGCGCCAGGAGACGCCCGGGAAGGCCAGCGCACACTATTGCATTCCATGCGTATACGTTGCAAAATATTGTCCCTTAGTTCCCCCCCCCCCCGGCCCGCGCCGAAGTGCCGGCCCGTTTGGTTTCATCTTACATTAGTCAGCAAAAAATAAAACAAACAGTGGCCCCAAGGGAGCCCGTGAAACCCCAAAGACGGCCCCAGAGGGCCCCAAGGAGGCCTGCAAGGGCGCGCCCCAAAATCCAAACACACGAATTTCTCGACGATTTTTGTTACATTTGACCGTCTTCCTTTTTCGGCCCGCGCGGGCTCACGATGGCCCACGCAGCCCCCAAAATTATGCGAAGACGGCCGAGGAGGCCTCCCAGAAGGCACCCTTGCGGCCCAAGAGGGCCCCAAGATGGTCCAATAAGGGCCCCCAAGACGGTCCAGGAGGCCCCCGAATCGGCCCAAGAGGGCCCGACGAGAGCCCGCCTCCGAAGGGGCCCAGGCGGCCCTGGACAGCCCGAGGACGGCTCCAGGCGCCCTTCCGACGCCCCTAAAAGCCCGCGAGAACCCCCGACATGCCTCCCACCAGCGCCCGAGAAGGCTCCTAAGGCCTCTCACAAGATCCCTTGATGTCCATGCCCCACGCGTTCTGGTAGCCAGGCTCTAATGCGCTTCATTGCGGCGCCCATTGGTCCCCAAGAAGGCCCAGCACGGCCCGAGAAGCCAGTCGAGGCCCCGCGAGGCTTTACGGCCCGCGAAAGGGCCCTCCAACGCATCCTTTACGCCTCTGAAGAACCCACCAATCCAGGGGCCGCCGAAGCGACGCGCAGAAAACCATGGGGACAGGGCGGGCGCGACAAAAAACACGGGCGAGTGGCCAAAAGTAGGGCGCAGATCTGCTTTTCACTACGCGCACTTCTTGCCTTGCTAGCGCTTGCTCGCACAGGCTGCGCGTGTCTATGTGGGCGCGGCGCGCGCTGTATAGCCGCGGCGTTGCGGCAGCGCAGCGGCGTGCTCTTGCACACGCTGCGTGGGTGGTAGCGGCACGCGTCGCACGCGTTGGTCGGCCCCTCAACGCCGACCAGCTTTAGGCGCGTCTGGCGATGCGGCGCCGCAGACCTCGCAGCGCGAGATCCGCAAACGCGGCCGCGGAAACGGCCGCCAGCCAGCACGACAACCACCATGACCGCCGGCAGGGCCGCCAGCGCGACTGCCCTATAGCAGGAGAACAAGGCCAACCGCGAACGCCAGAACGACTGCCAGCATTGCGTTGCCACTCGCGGACCTCGGGAGCGGCCAAGAGGGGGGTGTCCAAGAGGGGGGGGGGCAAATCATGACCGGCGGCATGTGCGCGGCCCAAGGGGGGGGTGGGGGCTGGGGACGTAATGAAACAAGAAGAGGCGCCATGAAATCTGAGGAAATATCATGGCCTCCGCCATGATATCCAGCCCCCCCCTAGTCATCACCCCCCTCTTTTCCGCTCCCGAGGACACCAGCAAAACCCCGCACCGGCGCGACCGCCGACGACCGCACTCACAGAAAGCCAGAGCGACCACCGACGGCACTCGTCGACCCACCGCTGCCCGACCCCGCCCCCAAGCTGGCGCCGCCCCCTGGGGCGCAGGCCCGTCTCGCGACATCTTGCCGCCGTCTTCGTCCTTCCTCTCCCCGCCGTCTTCGTCCTTCCCCCCCCCCGCCGTCCAGGTCCCTCCCCCTTCGCGCCGCCCTCCTCCTTGCCTTTGCCGCCGTCCTCCTCCGCCCCCTGGCCAGTGCCCTGGCCGCCCGCCTCGCGGCGCGCCTGCGCCGCCGCTTTCCGCAGGTGCCCCCTCGGCGCGCCCCCTGTCTGGCGTCTCAGTGAGCGCCCGGCGCCGCCCCCGCTCCTCCCCGAGCTTCGTCGCCGCCGCGCACCCGACCTCCTCGAAGGCCCAACCGGCGCGCCCACGTCAGCGACCCTTTCGTCTCCGGCAGCTCCTCCTGGACGGGCCGCGCCTCGCGCCCCCTTTAGCGCGACTCTCCGCCTCTGCGTCGCGGAGCTCCTCCTGCGTCGCCACCGCCACGTTGGCCTCGCCCCACTCTTTCACGATGCTGCGAAACAGCCGCCCGACCCTCTCCCGAACCACGTCTCTCATCAAAGCCAGCCTGCGCTGCAGCTCCGCCCGCTGGCGCGGGAAGCTGGAGCTGGAAGAGGAATCGGAGCTGGACGATGAATCGTCCAGCTCCTGCTCCTGATCCTTCGGCTCAGCGCCGCCCTGCGTTTCCTACTCCTCCTCCTCCTCCTCCTCCTCTTCCTCCTCTGCCTCCTCCACCTCCTCATCCTCCTTTTCTCCCTATCCTCCTCCTCCACCTCCTCCTCCTCCTCCTCCTCCACCTCCTCCTCCACCTCCTCCTCCACCTCCTTGGTGGGCGGGCACAGACTAAAGGAATTCGCCCATAGATCCGAGCCCATAGCGGCTACAGACTTTGGGGCGTGCTCGAACCAGAGCGCCGAATGCAGTGTGGCGCTAACTCAAGCATCATCATCATCCTCATCATCCTCATCATCCTCATCATCAGCATAATCATCATCAGCATCATCATCTTCATCATCTTCAGCATCTTCACCTAAATCAATTTCATCACCATCATCATCACCTTCGCCACCATCACCATTACCATCCTGATCACGGTCGTATTCATTGTGGTCTGCATACCCGTGAGCGTCGTCATCGCCACAAACGTCATGGCCAACATCATCACCATAAATACAGGCACCATTGCGAGTAACATATCCAACGTCATGAAGCTGGTGATGTTCCACATGACCGCCCTAACGCACCGTAGCAATGATAATGCCCTGTCACAGATCTCAGGGCGCGTAAGCAAGGTGAAGAGCACATGAACAATACAGGATCACAGGGATAGGAAGAGAGAGAGAGAGAGAGTGAACCAGGGCTCACTCGACGCTCCACTATCGGATTTCGAACAGATGTGTTTGAGAACGGCGTCTCACGGAGGAGCAGGGCGGACACAAGAACCAAGGTCAAGCAAGCGACGATGATACTTGCTGTTGGCGTTGGGCCTTCCTCAAACCTGTGGATCAACCTCTGATCCCATGGCCATCAAAGAGGAGCCAGGACAATCGAGAATGGGCGACGATGGAGCATCATAAAAGTATGACAACAAGGGAAGAGGATGACGAGGGAATCGAGCATCGACGGTCCACGGGAATGAGGAGGAGGAGGAGCAGAATGAGAAGAGAGAGGAGGACAGGATCAATGGGGGCAACTGACGCATCCAGGAACACGAGACAATAACCCAGAGCGCATGGAAAACATAGGAATTGGTTCCAGGAGACACGAGGAGGCTCCAGGAGGAAACAAAAAAGCCCCAGGCAGCAGGAGGCCCCAGGAACAGGCATGACAACACTGTAATGACTAGAAGCAGGAAGAGGAGGCTGGAGGCGGCCGAAAGAGAAAGAGTATGGCAATGAAGAGGCAGGAGGAGGAGGAAGAGGAGGAGGAGAAGGGGGGGAAGGAGGAGGAACGTAACAGAGGATGATGATGATGATGATGAGGAGGAGGAGGAGGAGGAGGAGGAGGAGGCAGGAGAAAGGGAGGAAGAAAAAGAGGAAGCAGGATGAAGAACATCATGATGCACGAGAAAGAACAACAAGCAGCACACGGATGCGAGCGGAGGATGATAAAGAGGCAGCAAGGTCGGCAAAACCTGGAGGAAGAAGAAGCGGAGAGGGCAAGCGGAATCGGAGGAGGAGGAGCAAGAGGAGGAGGCGGAAGAAGCATACTGGAACGACAGGGGGAGGGGGCAGGAGGAAGAGGAGGCATAAGGCAGGAGGCAGGAGGAGATCTGGTGGAAAGATAGAGAGGAAGAGGAGGAGAACAGGAAGAGAACAGGAAGAGAAGGACGGGGTCGAAGAAGATCGAAGGAACTGGAGATCCCCAGACAAAAACCAAGAAGATTGTCTGGATGGGACCTTCCGTCGGAGAAATTGAAAGATTCTGCGCTCTCGCACTTTCTTCACCCGAGAAAACCATAACGGCCGAGGCGGCATCCAGCATGATCCCGAAATCGTCTAAAGAGGCCCAACGATCGCATTGGATGATCCCCCAAGATGGTTCCAGGGGCCCGTAAAACGGCCCAGGAAGACCCCATGAGAGCGCCAAAGCGACCCCGAGATGGCCAACAGCCAGACCCCCAAAGGTGCCAGAAAACAAAAGGCGCAAGAGCGCCACAAGACGGCCGAAGGCGCCCCCAGGAGGCTCGCAGGAGTCGCCACAACAGCTGCACAGCGCAGACCGTGCGCACTCGAAGCTGCCCGAGCCGCCCGTACTCTCCGCGGTCCGGGCGTGCGCCCCGCGAAGCGGGAGGAACCCGCCCGCCCACCCGGCTGAGGGGCGTGTGGGATTCAACCGCAAGAGCTCCTTACGGGGCGTTGGCCCCCCTCCTTCCCCACCCTCCCAGAAGCCTCTGCCATTCCGCCGCCCAGCTACAGACCATCGGCCCTCTTCGAGCCTCAGCACGGCTTTCAAGACGAGCTCGATGTTCGGATCCTCCTGGCGTCGTTTTCGGGGGCGCATTTCGGCTCCATGTCGACCCCTCGCCGCCTCTGGGAACTCGAAACATACAGCAACATTCATCAGTTTTTAAACTGACTTTTGCCTAGCCAGGGGTCGCCTAGACGCCTCGTATAGTCGCCAGTCGGGCTCTTTCGGGCCCACCATGGGGATGCTCGCGCTTGAATCATCCAGACGTCCGCCCGGGCAGCCTCGGGCCCTTCTTGGCTTCATGCCGGGCCCATTCCAAAGCTCTCTTCGGCCCTTCAAGGCGCCTCTTGGACCTGTGGGGGGTCTGTGACCATTTTCGGAACACTGCCATCCCGTCTTGTCGCCGTCTTCGTCTCTTCCAGCGAATACTGTAATGCGCGGGCGGTGAACGCGAAACGTCTTGAATATCGGAATCGAATCGGACCGGGCGGGCCAGAACCGATCTAGAACCGGATCGGACCGGTTGTTCATCCTGAGTCGCTTTCCGACGGTCCTGGGACCCGGCGGAGTCCCCCAGGGACCGAACATAGTGAAACATCTTGCGCGGTGGAATTGCTACCCCTACCCTTGTCCAGGGTTGCTTATCGCCCACCGCGGGTAATCTTGCTTTACACTGCGAGGGCAAAACCGCTCCATCGACATTGCGGCTGGAGTCTGGCATGCGAGATCGCTTCATCCAAGAGACAAATGCATCAGCGCGCGCGTTGCAAAAACTGACAGACACGTTGGGCCACAGGACTCGTCCACCGAATTTAGGAACAATTACCACACAAGCGGAGAACAGGACGGAAGATGCATCTTCCGTCCTGATTGTTGTACGGCGCGCCCTTAGCGGGCCCTGGAAACAACAGGGCCGTTTTTTTACCGGTTCCGTTTTGCCTTTTTGTTGCCGGTTCCGACGCCGTTTTTTTTACCGGTTCCGTCGCCGTTGTTTGACCGGTTTGGCTCCAATTCCGATCCTGAAGCCGTTGTTTTGCCGTTTCCGGTCGCGGTTTTTGTTGCCGCTTCCGTGTTCAAGGGACATATTTCTGCAAACGGTGAAAAAACAGGCCCTGCCGCTTCTGAGGCCCACTAATATAGGGAGCCCACAAAGGACGTACGCACCCAGCTACGTGCATGAACGCTGCCCCTCGATCCGCGAGACCGGCCGCGTTACACGAACATTTGTGCAGTGCGTGCTCTCGAAACCAGCGTGGATTCATGTACATGTACCCTGACCTTCCAGGAGGGCTAAAAAATAGCACGCGACTTAAAAACCTATCCCAGAGCTATTCTACGTCTTGGTTTTAGGCTGTTTCGTCTCGTTTTTTAGGTTTTTAGGTCTCCAGTGCCAAAAAATAGCTCTCTGGAAGGTCAGGGTACGTCCTTCTTTCGCTCCCGAAAAGGGCGCGCCCATGTCCGGGTCCCAGCTCTCGGACGGCACGATGCTTCTTCGGTCCGGGCGCTCTTCCCGGGCCTCGGCCTCCGGGGCCCGCTCCCCGGCCCTGGCCCCCGGAGGTCACGACAAGCGGAGCTGGGACGACCACGCGGCCTCGATCGAGAATCCAGAATCGAGGAGGAGGAGGAGGAGGAGGAGGAGAAGGAGGAGGAGGAGGGGGAGGAGCAGCAGGAGGAGGAGGGGGAGGAGGAGGAGACGACCAGCCTCACCAAGGGGACGCCCGGTCGGGACCTCTGGTGCCACGGGTGGGAGAACCATGATCGACCCACGACCCCAGAATGATGGGCGCGTTTTCCGCCACCACCACCACAAGTTGGAGGGGGGGTCCTCCTCCTCCTCCTCCTCCTCCTCCTTCTCCTCCTCCTCCTCTTCGTCCTCCTCCTCCTCCTCCTCCTCTTCGTCCTCCTCCTCCTCCTCCTCCTCTTCCTCCTCCTCCTCCTCCTTCCCCCTTCCAACTTATGGTGGTGGTGGAAAACAGGCCCACCACAGAGATGGACACAGAAATGTCAAGTATGGCGGCGTTTTCAATGCACCTGACTGGGCGACGAACAATTGCAATGCTGAGCGCATCGATCTTGATGTACCGTGCCAAGGGCTGTGGCGTGTTGCGCCGTGCTGGATTGCCCTGGGGGAACGGTCGGGATCTCTTGTGCCACGGATGGAAACGAAAACCAACAGATCGGCGTGCGACAGGGTCCACTTGCCTCGGCGGCCCCCTCCTAAGACGAAGCCAGGACGAGAATAACATCGGGTGAGGATGAATCTCCTCGTAGTTCTCCTCCTCCTCCTCCTCCGCCTCGTCGTCCTCCTCCTCCTCCTCCACCTCCTTGTCCTCCTCGTCTTCCTCCTCCTCTTCGTGCTCCTCCTCCTCCTCCTCCTCGTCCTCCTCGTCCTCGTCGTCCTCCTAATCCTCGTTGTCCTCGTCGCCGTCCTCGCCGCCGCCAAAGCCAGGTCGAGATACAATCGGGTGAGCATGTATCGAGAATCTCTGAGAGCCGACGGCTCTGGAGGATGTCTTGTGGGTGCCGCGGCCTTCCAAGAGCGTCCCAGAAGGCCCTAAGAGCGTTCTGGAACACTCTGGAACGGATTTATCCTCGTCCTCGCCCCATCCGACCCCTCCCCCCCCGTGCGGCCTTCCCAGAGCGTTCCGGAACGCTCTGAGAGCATTCCGAAACGCTATAGAACGGATTTATCCTCGTTTGACCCCCCGACGCCATGATTTTTCCCAGAGGTCTCGACCCCTTCCCCTGGACCTGTTTTTCATCCTGAGTCTTTTTTGAACGGCCCAAAGGCCGAGCAAGGGCTCCCCGCAGGCGGAGATAGCGAAACACCTGCCGTCGTGATTTTGTTCACCGCCCCTCCACCCCCCTGAGGGGCAACGACAAGGGGGGATTGGCACAGGAGGGGATGCATCGACCTGGAAGCGGCGATACATCGCCGATACATCGGCGATAGGCCCCCGACCGTGAATCCGCAACTTCCTGGGCAGGTTAGGGGCCACCGGGCCCCGATCTGCGATCCATGGGCGATTGGGGGTCGACGCATCCCCCCCCCAATGCCCATCCCCCCCTCTATCGTTGCCCCCGACCCCCCCTCCCGTGAGACTCTCGTGTTGCGTGTGGTCTCAAGGACAGTCCAAGAACACAGGCCTCAATCAGGCTCGGAGGCTTCCTCCTCCCAGGAATCTCCGTCGCTGTCGGCTCTGCGGCCTCTCTCTGTGGAGATTCGCCCAATCTCTGCCACCCAATCCAAATCAGATTCAGCCAGCCCGAAGCATCGGCTCCCTCCGGGGGAGCCCTGCCGCAACCCTCCCCGTCCCCGCCGGGCCCGCGGGGTGTCCGGCCGCGGCCGCCGCCGCGGCCTCGGGCCTCTCCCCCGTCTCCCTGGCTCCGCCGCGTCGCGCTTTTGCTTCGCAGCGGGAGGGGTTCTGGGTAATGCACATCGGCACGTTTGCGCCTCTCGCGCCTGGGCGCTCACGGCGGAAAAGGTCCACGCAAGTGGATGCACATCTGGGGAGCTCCACGCAGTGAAGAACACTTCGCCACGCGAGGGGTCCTGGATGATAAGCTCTGCCCTCCTTCTCGGGGGCGCGCGAACATGGATGAGCGATCCATGGATCTGGCGCGCGGTCGCCAAGTCCACGGATCGGGGGAGGTGCCCTCCCCAAAGTGCGGCCGGTGCCGCCTCGATCGGCGGTGGGGGCCCGCGAGTTCCACATGGAACTGGGACCCGTCGCTGATCCACGCCCCCTTTGATTGGCCTGTTTTCCACCACCACCACCATAAGTTGGAGGGGAAGGGGGTCCTCCTCCTCCTCTTCTTCGTCCTCCTTCTCCTCGTCCTCCTCGTCCTCCCCCCCTCCAACTTATGGTGGTGGTGGAAAACACGCCCATCACCCTTGATCCATCTTTGCGATCGCCTGACTCCTCTGCTGCAGCAGAGCTCGACGCACTCCAACCTCTGCGTCCCCCGTCCCCGCGACGCCCACCCTACCCTACGGGGGGCCGCGCCCGCCACCGCCGCTCGCCGCCGCTGACGACCACGAAGGCGCCACAGCCATAGTCATCGTGCCACCATGCGAAACGCTGGGTAAGGCACCGAGGGTAGAAGAAGAAACAACGGCAGAAACAGGAACTGCTGGCGCTCCGCGCGAATTTCTCGGATCCGCGCTGGGCCCTCCACCCTGGCGCGCGGAGCGCGCGAGTGGTGGCGCTTGAGGCGCCGCCAGGGGGTGCCCAGCGCGGATCCAAGAGATCCGCGCGGAGCACCCAAAAACCTAATGTGTATGGCGTTTTCTCCTCTTCGCAAATAAACAACCTAAACATTGATTTTCTTGCCGCGGCAGGCTTCGGCCACGAAGAGGTTTCCTGACCTGGATCAAGCGAATAGTCGAGAAGCAGAGCCCCGCTTGAGCACAGCGTGGTCCCAATTTCATCGTCTTGACTGCAGCCACCTCTTCCTCGACGGCGCCCGCTCTCGAAGCAGCCTCTCGTCGGCGTCCTCCTTCTCGTCGTCGCCCTCGCGTCGTTGCCGTCGCCCTCCTTCTCCCTCGCCCCTGCGCTCATCACGGGCTCCTCCTCCTCCTCCTCCTCCTCTTCCTCCTCCTGCTCCTCCTCTTCCTCCTCCTCCTCCTCCTGCTCCTCCGCCTCCTCCTCCTCCTCTCTGACCCTGGGCGCCAGAGAAGCGCGGTGAGGCCGTCGCCCGCGGCAGCATGAAGAGAATCCCCCCCCGGCCGCCTCGGAAGTCGTCGTCCTTGAGCTCGAAGGCCACCCTGGAGCAAGCGTTTCGCGACGCGACCCGCTGGCGCAGATAGACCCAGACCTCCGACGTTACGCTGTTGCAAGGCTGGGCGTGTTTCCTCGATTTCGGCCCCTGGGGACCAGGTCTCGATTATCGGGCCCCGGGACTATAAAAGATGGATCTGGGCCGAAAAGTTGGCCCCAGGGAGATGGTCGGGACTTCTGGGACCGCGAGCTGTGTTTTGTTGTCAGATGGGCGAAACATTGACTACCTACCAGACCACCCCAACCCAACCCGAAGACCCGAATTTGACCCGAATTTCGGGTTGGGGGGGGGTACGGATACCATGTGTTGTTTCAACGTTCCCCGACCCCCCCCACTGGAAATGGAAGGCAAATTGAGGGCTTCGGGTTGGGTTGGGGTGGTTTGGTGGGTGGTGAAACATAGATCTGCGCGTTTTTCCTCGATTTCGGCCCATGTGGCGCGTTCTCGGTGATCGGGCTCCGGTGCCACAAAGATTGGGCCCGGGGCGGGAAATGGGCCCCGGGGAGCTGGTCGGGACCCTCGCCGTCGCTCGGGCGTCCATTCCCAGTGCCTTGGTCGATGTCGTGCCTCTTTTTTTGAAGGGGCCCCAGGACACACAAATAAATACACACAAATAACAATAGTCCCCATATTTTCCTATATTTTCCGGGGTTTTGTCTTCCCCCCCACGTCCCATAGTTTCCAATACTTTCCCGGGAATCGACGGTTCATTGTGTCTGTGTGTTTTTGTTCCCCTCCTGATTTTTTTTCGCAAGAGGAGCCGAGCCCTCGCCGAGGGAAACGTGCACATGCCCAAGCGATGTCGGGGACTGCTGGACTGCTGGGGCCGCGCACGGAGCAGAGCCATGGCGCCGGATGGCGGTGGGGGAGCCCTCCGGGCGGCCCCTCGGGGCGCGCGCGCTGCACGCGGGAAGGTCGGGGCGTCTCGGCGCGCGCGGTGCTCCCCCTCCTCCTCCTCCTCTCCGTCCTCCTCCTCCTCTCCGTCCTCCTCCTCCTCCTCCTCCTCCTCCTCCTCCTCCTCCTCCTCCTCCGCCGCCTCTCCGTCCTCCTCCTCCTCCTCCTCCTCCTCCTCCTCCTCCTCCTCTGGACCTGCTTAGCCTGGCACCGTGGCTTCGCAGGTGCGGTGTTTCACCCTTCCTGGTTTTCACGGCGGGCGCTTGCCGTCGAAGCTCGAGTCGATCCTCGCCGATGGAGAACAACAAAAAAAGAATCGGGGGCGTGGGCGTGCGCGCGCGCTCGTCGGCGGCGTGCACGCTGGCCTCGCCGAGGCTCTCACGGCCACCGAGGCTCGCGTGAGGAAGCCGGCGGAACGTGGGAGCGACCCTGGGCAAAGGTGACCTAAGTTGGTGCGCGGCTGGACGGGGGACGCGGGGTGGCCAAACTCGGCGAGCTAAGGTCTCGGGCGCTTTGCGGCAGCGCGGGCAAACCACACGCGCGGGATAGCAGGCGCCAATGCGTCGCTGCCTCGGCCAAACCCAGGCGCGCAAGCCGCTGCTAGCGCTGCGCGTTCGGCGATCGGTGGACCCCTCTGGGCCGGCACCAGAGGTCACTCCGGCGAACGGTCACTCTTACGCATAGTCGAAGAAGTCACTCGACACGCCCTGGAGACGGGCGGAAAAAGCTGCGCAATCACAGCCTAAGGGCTCGATGGCTTCCGCGTGGAGGCTTCAAAGGAGGAGAAACGGCTGAAGGACATAACGAGGAACGGAAAGGATCGACAGAAAAAAGACGAGATGGCATTTAAGTCCAAGCCTGCGGAACTCTTTGCGGCAGTTGTAAGCGCCACCGTGGATAAGAAGCTCGAGGAGCGTGGCTTGATCGTCGACGAGATGCTCGATGACCAAGGTGAGGCCGGCGCCACGATCACAGAGGTAGTCCACGCAGTGGCAAAAAACGGCTCGACCCCTGGGGGGGCCCAGTGGGCAACAGGCAAGGGCAAAGCCAGCGGCTCGGACAAAGGCAAGAGCAAGGGTACAAACAAAGATGGCAAAAGCAAGGCGACAACAAAAGCAAGGGCAAAAACAATAACAAAAAGAACACCTACGGAAAGGAGGCAAAGAAGAAGCATGGCAAAGGACAGCGCGGCCAAGGCGGCGGGAAAGGAGACGCCAAAGGTTGGAGAGTTGGGGCCAAGCCCTCAGGTAAAGGCGCCAGCAACTTCAACAAGAGAGATGGAAAGGCAAATGGCTGGCAAGGCACATGGACGGAGCATCGCTGGAAGCATGGATCTCGCTGGTAACTTTCCAGAGGCGGGCTGACACGGTCCACGTGTACGAGCATGCGGACCAATCGATATTTGTTCCGACAGACCTTCCATGGCCAATAGTGTGGCTATTATGTACGTTTCATCACAAACGCATTTTCAGCCTTGGCATCACTCCCAAGCTTTATGATAGCAATAGCGATCTCAACAATTTTGCAAATAAGGTTAGATGGCATTGGAAATTGAAGGACGTTCCAAGCCATGAGCGGCTCGATTACCGAATAAAGGGGTGGAAAACCCCAGCATGTCCAGGAGTAGGCGCAGCAGAGGAAACATGTTGGCTAGATTCTCTTCGCCGCGTGGTCTCTGGAGCGTGCGAACAGCATATTCGGAGGAGTCGGCATCGCCGGCGTGGCATCATGCTTCTGAGAGCCAAAAAGGCATTTGCTTGGTTGCAGGCTTCCGACTTCATACCAATCAGAAAACGATAAAAACGTTGGATATACCCTCGTTCCGAAAAGTATTAACGAACACAGTGATGAGCAGATCTTGGAGGAAACCCAATATGAGGAATGCAGCCCTGATCCGATAAACTTCAATACAGTAGCGCAGGAGAATCACAAGCTGGCCAAGGATATCGAAGCTTTCGTGGAATACCCCATGTCGCGAGATATTATGAAGTCTTTGGGTGCCCCAGGGCACACATACAAAGCTCGGCTTATCAAGACGTGCAAAACACATAAACATCCAGAGGCCATCACATTCAGAAATGTACATGCTGCTAGCAGGTATTGTTTCGCAGGACTCTCACATTGGTTGGCACGCGTACTGAAGTCAAGCATCAGAGAATTTCCACATATAGTGAAAGCCTCCAGGGAAGCTGCCCGACGATAGATGGAACATGCCCATGCTTGTCGGAGACAGGCTAGTGAAACTAGACGTGAAAGAGTTCTTCATGTCAGGCGATTGTGGCAGCCTCGTCGACGACATAGGAAGCAGTTTTTTCTGGACCCTTGAAACAATTAGTGTCTAGGGCGCTGTATTTCCTGCTACAGCATCAGTGCATATTCTCCAGCTCCCTTCCTGGCCGGCTGTACAAAGTGATACAGGATTCAGGGATGGGCCTTCCTCACTCGGGGGAAATAGCGGACCTTGCACACTTGAACCCCATGGAGCGGTGGGCTGTCAGGCAGCTGACCGCCTACAGGATACGGTGGTATCTTAGGTTTAAACACGACATCCTGGTGAGCATCGAGGACTCTGCATCAGGGGGTAGTTTTTGCAGGGAACTCCTGGCCAAGTCAGGGTACTTCCGACTCCAGCTGGAGGGGCTTCCGGCTGATGAGGTCGAATGGCTGGATCTGTCGATCTTCAAACACGGTGGTCGCATACGAGCCCGCCCAAGGCTCAAACCGACCACCCTGGCTATACCCCTCGGCAGGGACAGCGCGCACCCAATACAGACGCACAAGGCGTGGCCCGCAGCACGCCTGATGTACATGCAATCTTTATGCTCAGACCCATCCTTTTCTCGGCAATGCTACGCTGAATACAGGCGGCGATTATCCCCTGGAATGGTTCACGGGCCGACGCGCCCGCAGAGAGAAGCCAGCTCAGCCATCGCAAACGTTGTGGTTGAAGCTTCGGTTTACTCCCGAACTCCAGGGCGTTGCCGAGAAGGCCCTAAGGGGCATCTTGCTGTCCAAATCTCACAGCAGCATCCTGCAGCAGGCCATGAGGGAAGTGCCGTGCGTCAGGATTTCTCGGTATAGATATCTAGCAAATCTTTCGGACCAGCTGGCAAGACTAGCCAGCCCGAGCGTAGGAAGAGCTAGGGGTAGGTAGGTGGGATGATCATTGTTGTCATTGCAACTCTGACGCAGCATATTTGGCTCCAGTCCGGAGGGCTAGCAACGGCAAATTTCCCTTCCCAAGGGGGGAGGAGCCTTTAGCAGGTGTATCCGCGAAGCCCAAAAAGAGAGCGCTTTGCGGCAGCGCGGGCAAACCACACGCGCGGGAATGCGTCGCTGCCTCGGCCAAACCCATGCGCGCAAGCCGCTGCTAGCGCTGCGCGTTCGGCGATCGGTGGACCCCTCTGGGCCCGGACCAGAAGTCACTCCGGCGAACGGTCACTCTTACGCATAGTCGAAGAAGTCACTCAACAAGCCGCGCAATCACAGCCTGAGGGCTCTATGGCTTCCGCGGACTTCGCCTTCACATCCAGGGCCTGGCTCCACCTGGGCGGAGGGCCAACGCGGAGCTCGGAAGGCTGGCGGAGCGGCATGGGGAGGCTCCCACCTCGTAGCTCCGCCAGATCGGCTGACGAGAGCTCTTCTGGCTCTGCCTGCTCTGGTTGACATCCCTCTCACCACGAGGCGGCCGTGGTATAGCAATGACTGGCATCAGAGGCACATCCGCGGGGCCACCATGTCTCAGTCGCGACACGACGATCTGCGCTTGGGTGCACGACTGGCAATGTGCAACGCTGTGCACGGCGAGCCGTTATATCGCTGTGTGGTGTGACATAACGAATGGGACGATCCTTCTCGTCCTCCACCGCCTGCGAATATTCCTCCTTCCCCCTGTTCCCCCAAATTCACCGCTGGCTCAACTGGCGCACTGTCAACATGCTGCTTCTCACGCGTGGCTTTCACCTGCGATCGAAGTCGGGGTCCTGTTGTAGTCCAAGGGCTCGACGGGGGGCCAGGGGAAGAAGCCCACCTCTGGGGCAAGCCGGGAAGATGCAATGACTGGTGCAGCAGAGGTCACAGCGCGGCGCGCGGTGGTGAGAAGACCTGCTGGCAAAAGGTCTACGTCGGGGATGGACAGACCCCCCTTTAGTAAAACGTGGTTTAGTGAAACCGACCTGAGGCCCAGACCTGGCGGGCGCAAGCCTGGAACATAACGGCCACGGCGCCCTCTCGAGAACCGAAAACGGACAATTCATTCACTAATCGACGTGTCACTGCTGGGGGTTCTGTCCACCCCCGACTACGCTTGGGGGGGGCATCCGCCGACCACCCCGCCAGTCCTGGGCGGGCCCATCCAAGGCACCTCGCCGAGGCAGGAGACCACGCACAGCGACCCTGGGGCCAGCGTCGTCCTGGCCAGGATCGCGGAGGTGGTCAGTGGACGCCCCCCGAGGAGATACTCCACAGGGGGGTGTGGAGGGTCTGGCAGACCAGGGGAGGGGGGGAGGCCTCAGCGAGGACCCCCACGATTGGATCCAGACAGTTCCCTCTCTGCCGTGGCCCTGCGTGTCCCCCCCCCCCCCCCCACGCCGCTCCTCCTTCACTAAACCGAAGGAAGCAAGGACGAGGATCAATGCGGGTGAGGATAAGTCTAAGGGAACAGAAAGTGACATAAACATAAAAACTCGGAGGTCCGCGCGGATTTCTCGGATCGGCGCTGGGGCCCCCCGGCGGCGCCTCCGGCGCCGCCCCTGGCGTGCTCCGCGCGCCAGGGAGGGGGGTCCAGCGCCGATCCGAGAAATCCACGCGGACCTCCGAGTTTTTATGTTTATGTCACTTCTTGTTCCCCAAAGTCGGGAATCTCTGAGATCCCGCAACTGTGAAAAATGTCTCAGGCGCCGCCGCCTTCCCAGCGCGTTCCAGAACAACGGATTCATCCGGATGAGGAGGAGGAGGAGGAGAAGGAGGAGGAGAAGGAAGAGAAAGAGGAGGAGGAGAAGGGGGAGGAGGAAGAGCTCGTCCTCGCCCCGCCGGGCTCGGTCCTCTCTTGTCGGAGGAGGACCAACTGAGACAACGCTAGCTCTCTCTGGCCCAATTCCTCCTCCTCCTCCTCCTCCTCGCCCTTCTCCTCCTCCTCCGCCTCCTCCTCCTCCTCCTCGCCCTCCTACTCCTCTTCCTCCTCCTCCTCCTCGCCCTCCTCCTCGCCCTCCTCTTCCTCCTCCTCCTCCCGTTCCTCCTCCTCCTCCTCCTCCTCCTCCTCCTCCTCCTCCTCGTCCACTTTCCCCCCCGCCTCTCGTCCCCGACCCCCCTCCTGGGGTCCATCCTGGCCCGTCCCTCCAGGCGAGTCCAGCCGTGGCGAGGAGTCCAAGATTGACGGGAAACACCGCCTGGGAAAATCGTCCCTTGCCTCGATGGGCCTGCCTGAGGTGATCCAAAAGAGCGGACCCCACCGATACTCTTGGTCCGGACGTCAACCGAACCGTGTGCTTCACGCCGTCGGTGCGGGAAAGCTCGCGCGATTTCGGACCCCCCCCTACTGGCGCGACGAGCGCGCCAAGGTCGGACCCATGGGTGCCGCCAGGGTGTCCGGCTCCGACCCTTTAAAAAAAGAAGAAAAAATCACGAGACCTCGAATTCTCACGTTCATGGCACTTGCGTTTCGAGAGGAGGAGGGGGATGACCAAGTCGGTGCGCCAAGTTTTGCTCGAAACGTGATCTAAAGAGTGCGAAGCAGAGGAGAAGCAGGAGGAGGAGGTGGAGGAAAAGGAGGAGGAAAAGGAGGAGGAGGAGGACAGGGAGGAGCAGGAGGAGAAGAAGGAGGAGGAAGAGGAGGAGGGGGGGAGGAGGAGGGCGAGAAGGAAGAGGAGGAAGGAGGAGGAGGAGAAGGGGGAGGAGGAGCAACGACCGTCCCCTGAAGGGTCCTGGGCGCCTAGGCCCCACGCGTACGCTGCATGGCGAGAGCGCGGAAGCGAGCGGCGGCCAGTGCACTGACGCAAACGCGAGAAGTGGCTGCCGATCTCCCCATTCATGGCATGCTATATGTAAAGGCGATTGAAAGGGAGCGAACGACATCTCCGATCCAGTGCTGATCCACATGCGCCGCTTCTCATCCAAGGCCGACACGATTAAAGACATCACCACTTAACGGCCGCTGAAGGTCGGCAACAAGCCCCAGGACCCAGCCGCAAACGAAATAGTAATGGGCACACTCAACACACTCAAGACAATCCATGCAGCAGGCTCGAGACCCCCGGACTACGTGCCTGCGAATACTGGTGGTCCACGCACCATACAAACTTTCGATCGTGCACCATCTGACTGCTGGCTTGCACTTGGCGAGACACGAAAGGAGATATCGCCAGCGAGTGTCATAATCATGGGGGAGCGGGAGGTCGGGAAGCCCATTTCCTTATGCGGCGACTCGCGGCATCTGAGAATCGGTCAGGGTAAAGGCGATCCCGTGAACTGGGCATTGACCACGCGCTGCACTGTAGGTGCCCCGCGATCCCCAAGCTCCGACACCCGAACCACCTCCCCCCCTTCCCGCTCTCACAGCAAAGCTCAACAACGACCACGTAAGTTTTGAACATGGTAGCAGGCTTGCACAGACTTGCGCTCGCAAGTCCCTGAACGATGGTGGCCTGCACCTGCCGCCAAGGTGGAGACCAGCGCTCATCAGCAAAAGGAGGGTCCCCCCTGAACGCCAACGCGTACAGGAGAGTAAATCATAGACCTTTTTCGTCGACTCCGGCGAATACCGATCAAGCTTGTGTAGACCGTGCAATTCTCGCTTCATTCAACGGGGGATCGGAAGAGCAGGATCTCCCATCCTTGTCGTCGTCGTCGCCGTCGCCGTCGTCGTCTTCCTTCTACAATTACTCAATATGAATATACTCTCCCTCTTCCCCTGATGGCGTCCGGGTGATGGCCGCGCACCCTCCGCGTACTGTTTTTTACACACAGGATGCCCAGGAAATCCCGGGAAACGACTCTCGCTGAGGCGCCGGCGTCATTTTTTCCCCAAGTGCTGCTCTCGTTGAGGCGCCGGCCTCATTTCTGCTCACGAATCCTTCCCCTGATGGCGTCCGGGTGATGGCCGCGCACCCTCCGCGTACTGTTTTTGTTACACACAGGATGCCCGGGAAATCCCGGGAAACGACTCTCGCTGAGGCGCCGGCGTCATTTTTTCCCAAAGTGCTGCTCGTTGAGGCGCTGGCCTCATTTCTGCTCCCGAATCGTTCCGAATCGTACTCCCGCTGCAGCGTGGGCCTCATTTTCGGATCGGTGCTTGGCCTCCGTCGTTCAGGATGGCGTTCTCGCCCCAGCGCGGGCCTTTTTCTCGCGCGCCCATCCGCCCGCCACCACCGCGCCGCACCGCCACCACCACCACCACCACCACCACCACCACCACCACCACCACCACCACCACCACCACCACCAGCACCAGCACCAGTACCAACACCACCAGCACCAGCACCAGCACCACCACCACCAGCACCACCACCACCACCCACCACCACACCACACCACCACACCACCACCACCAGCACCAGCACCAGTACCAACACCACCACCACCAGCACACACACCACACCACCACACCACCACACACACCACCACCACCACCACCACCACCACCACCACCACCACCACCACCACCACCACGACAACCACGCACACACGCACGCACGCACGCACGTGCACCACCACCCACTACGCACGCGCGCGCGGAGCCACAGGTCCGCTACGACACGCGTCCGCGGATAGAGAAAATCAGCGCCATGGTAAGGGGTGGGAGGGAGGGGTAGAACGTCAGATATGACGCGAGCGCACCTAGCTTGCCTCCTCCTCCTCCTCCTCGTCCTCCTCCTCCCCCTCTCCCTCGAGGGGGGGGGCGGAAGGATGGCAGACAAGCGGGCCCCCGAAGATGGCGCCATCAGTGGGTCCATGGCAGGAGCCCAACGGCACTAGGTCGGGCCTCTATTCCTACAGGGGGGCTGTGGACGAAAAATCAAAAATGCCAGAAGACGTGGTCAACAAATATCCTACAAATCGTGCCCAGGCTATTTCTCTACTAGGTTCGCATATTCGTCCTCTCGAGGGCAGGCCCGGCATAACACTGGCAACCTCGCACGCGTGGGCCAGGGGCGAATCTCGGAACCTGGCGAAAGCAATCGGGGCATTGCGCAGTGCGCCGATGGGCCAGCGAGCTCCTAGCGGGACCCCATGATGCTCTAGCGCAAGTTCGAGACAACGCCGAAACAGACCGGGGCACCCTGCTGGACAACCGAAGGAGAGGAGGAGCGGGCGTCTGCCTGGGCCGACATCTAGCCATCCAGCACGTCTCGCTTCTGCGGCCAGCTGGGGCACGTTGCCAATGTAGTTGCGCCCAATGATATACCCATGCTGGCTCGAGCGCACTCGCTCAGAGACAGCGAGGTTCAACGCGGGATGCATGGCCGAACCGATGGCTATCAGATCGCCGTAGTTCCAAACTCAACGGCCGAAAGCGCCGAACAAACCGCGCCCGACCTTTCTTCGCCCATGGGGAGACCTGCATGCGGCGAGCGCATGGCCTCATGGGGGAGCACCCCCCAGACTGAATGCGCTCGTGAACGCGGTACAAGATGGCGGCGCCAGAGAAGGTGAGGGAGCCAGTCGGATTACGGGAGGCGGTCTGGGCCACGCTGAAGCGCGCGGGCGCGCGCATCGAGTGTGGGAGCGGTGCAAAGGATCGACGATGCAAAACTGCAAACGGCGGGATCGGACGACACTCCTGCTGAACTGGCATCCACTGGGACTGCACTGCGAGGAACAGATCACCGTCATTCGCATGCATCTGCTCGAACTCTTACGGGTCAAAAAAGAAACATGCGCTTGCGTCCCCTCCGCGAAGAGCTGTCCCGCCCAATGGGCCCGCGACCTAGCGCGCCGTCCTGTTCTGCGATCAAGCTGACTCTGGTGCATTCCGTCTTTGCGTCGGCCGCATCCGCCAGACTGGACAGCGTTCGTGCCGGCGCGCAGCGCGCCTGGTGCCATTCATCTTCGATTGCGTCGCGCTGGGGGAAGGAGCGCCACAGGGCCACGCAGAGAGACGACGCCGTCAACGACGACCAAGTGAGGAGAGGCGGGAAGGGGGCAGCGATTCAGCGAGCAACAGCGCGAGTACCACTTGGGCACGGCGCTCGCGCCATGGACTGAAACAAACGCACGCGCGAGGTGGACGCATTGGGTTGCGCAAGCTGCGCGTGGTCAGGGCCTCGCAGACGATGGCGGGCGATTGCAGCAGCTTCGCGCATGAGATCCCCAACCCCTAGCAATGCCGCAGTCGCTGACATGCGATCGAAGTCCGCGCGTTCGAGCATCGCAGCAAACGGCGAGATGGCACGCTTAAAAACTGACATCGAGACGGCATCGACATTGCCCACCAGCGGTCTTGGACAATTACGGCGGGATGGCGCGCTCCTGTTGATCTTTTGGAGCTGCGGGCCGAATGTTGGGCATGGGCGCGACGTCAGCCGACAGGCCCTGGTCAAACAGCTGGGCGCGTTCTCGAGCGATGTGCAAAGTGACTTCCAGACCCGCGTGGCGCGGGGCGCAGCCAGGGCGCGAAGGCGCGAACGATGCTGGAAGCTCGCAGTCGTTTCTAATCGCATCGCGTGAGTCGATCGCGCGCGAGCTCTGCGAGAACACTGCGCGTTTTGTTTTCACCCAGCCTGCGCGCGCTGTCATCGGCAGCAAATTGCGATCAGGGAGCGGGGCGGGGCGGGGTAGCGGCGGGGGGGGGGGGGGGGCGAGGCGAGCTCTGCGCAGGGGGGCGAGCGGAGCGAGGGGGAGAAGCAGGAGAGATGAAGCCTCCGAGGGTCAGAAACTCAAGCGCGCGTTTGTGCTACTCCGCGCGCAAGGCTTGCCGGGTCCAGAAGCGCCCGATCTCTACCACATTAGCTGCGGACGCTGCGTGATTGTGCACATTGGAAGTCCGCACGCCGTGCTCGCGAGCAGGAGCAAAGACGCAGAGGGCGGCCGCATGGCCAGAGAAAGTCGCTCACTAAGCGAACGCTGGCTTCAGTTTAAGAGGCGCAGATGACTGTTGCGGATGACTAGGCACCAGGAGCGCGACGCTACCAGCTGAGACATCCGTGGCGGACACGTAAAAGACTTAGGCGTACTGCGCGGCGTTGGAGGTCTGGTCTTAGAGGCGTCGGTCACTACGAGCTTCTGACCGTGGGATTACGAATCTCCGACGCGTGCATCCTGAACGCAACTTGACTCCAGGGCTCCCGCTGACGCGTGATGAGGCACAACGAGATCCAGCCAGTTCAACTGATCGCACGAAGACCAAGGGCCGGGGAAGGCCCTCAAGGAACCCAGCAAGTGCTACCCAGACCACTGTGCGTTACTGCCCAAGACGGCCGCCGAGAAAGCTGCCTCGATCGCATCGCAGTCCATGCTGAAGTCTGCGACGGCGTCCACATCCCAACGGATACACGTGAACTCATCTTGGCCTGGAGGTTCGAGCTTGCAACTGAGGAAACTATCTTCGCGGACCTAGGACTGGGCACGCCAGCGACGCCAAGATCCGTCAGGTTACTTATCCTTCAACAGCTCGCGCAGCTTCTTAGCTTGCACCTCGCCACGCACCATCTCGGGACTCTTGTCGGTCGAGGTGCGCACTGGCACAACTGAGGTCTCTGTGGGGACGACCGGGAAACAACCGCCCAGTAAATGTTCGCACACGCCGTACCAGCAAAGAAGCTCTGGAGTTGTCCTCCAGCTTGTTGGTAAGCGATCTGATGGTAAAGCGCCTTGCTACGACGTCACCAGTGAGCTAAATGTGCTGGAGCTGGGGCTGGGCGTCGGCCATCCAATCCAAGCAGCAAGACTGCTACGAACAGCAGTCGGAGCAGCAGGCGCGACGATGCCGACCGAGAAGGCGAGCGGGTCCACAACCCTGTCTCAGTTCGCAAGGGCCTCGTCGTCGAAGTGCAGCGGGGCTCCTGCTGTGCCCAACTGGGCACGCAATTGGTCCATCTCACTACGCATGGTAACTTGGGTTGCCGCAGCATTGCCTTGCTGTTGTCGTGGCTATTGCGATTCTCGTGAACTTGCGTCGAAACGCGTGTGGGTCCGCGCCTGCTCACCCAGAAATGAAACCTTACGATGACTGGCGATGGACTCGAGCTGCGACGAGGCTGCTGCTGCGCTGTCGGCTGCATTCTGGATGGCTGCTGCGTCGACCGCAGGGCCTCATGTACACGCCGCCCCCTTCTGCTGCACCTCCGAGTTGCCATGAGAAGGATCATGCTCCTTGGGAAGGTCGCGCTTGGTGACAGGTGTGGCTGCGCACGTGATGGGTGTAGACTGAATGCCGTCCCCAGTCTGATGTTGCTCCCATCGTACTCCAGGACCACATTCCAGAAACAAGTTCGAACACCCAGAAAAGTACAGAACAAGTGTTGAACGAATGTCGCCTCTCAGGGCCCGCCGCGCGAAAACAGTCCAGGTTCGGTATCTTCCTGGCGCTCGACCTCATCTCTGGTGATCATGACTAAAGTAGGTTGGAACATCATAACCCCCACAGCGAACATGTTACGCTCGCCCAGAGCCGAACAGCATCAAGAAGAGGACACGCAACTGGGCGAGCAGGATCACGATCCTCACGCCGTGGGCCAGAAGCAGGCCGTTGCAGGGGCAGTGCAAAACGTCCAGAACGGCGCCTGCGAGTCTCCGCTCGGCCTCGACGGCGATGCCGCTCCTCACGAATTGCACGTCCGCTGCGCCGTTTGGGTCGACGATCATGATCTTGCTGTCGCCTCCGCGCTGCACCTGCGGCAGCTGCTGCGGTGGGAGAGCTGCGACTCCGATCGCTCTGGCCATCAGAAGCTGACATAGGGACCGCCACCAAAGGCCAGGAGCCTTCACGCTGCAGCCACCAGAGCCTATGGCAGGGCGGGAGACTTGGGGGGATCGGCTGGAGTGTGTGGAATTGACGGAAGTACGGAAGGAACGTCGTGGCCTCCTGGCGGCCACAATCGGGGAAGCCCCGAGCCCCTCCTCGAGCCCCCCAGCGGGGAGGGAGGAGGAGGAGAAGGAGGAGGAGGAGAAAGAAGAGGACGGGGGAGGAGAAGAAGAAGAAGAAGGAGGAGGAGGAGGACGAGGACGAGGAGGAGGAGGAGGAGGAGCAGAAAGAGAAGGAGGATGAGGAGGAGGGGGAGGAGGAGGAGCAGGAGGATGAGCAGGAGGAAGAGGAGGAGGCGAGGACGACGAAGAGGATGCGCTGTGGATGTGCCTGCCTGCAAGCTGTCTGCGAACAGCGGGTGGCCAGCGGGGCCCCTGAGCTTGAAGCGCACGTCCATGCGCGGCAAGGGCCCGTCCTGAGCCAAGCTTCCGCGGGTGCGGTGCGAGCCCCTCCCCCCCCTTTCCTCCGCTTCCTCCTCCCCCTCCTCCTTCTCCTCCTCCTCTCTCAGATTGACCCTGTCATTTGGTCATACCCATACTCATACTCACTCTCTTCTTCACCATCTCCTCTCTCTCCTTTCCTCCTCCTCCTCCTTCTTACTCCCCCTGCTCGTCTCTCAGTCCACCGCGCGCATTCGTTTGAAACGCTTGCAAGGCCCCTCCCCTCTGGCTCACGGCACAGCCCCGCGCCCTCGTCGTCCGGGTCTTCGCACTCTGGCTCTGGAGTGGGGGGTCCAAGGACTCCCGCCCCTCGTCCACGTCTCCCCCATCGCCCTCCCTCGCTCCATCTCTCCCTCTCCTTCTCTCTGTCTCTACCTCCCTCCACTGCCGCTCCATCCACCTGCAAGCGGATCATGCACCCAAGCCCGGGTCAAGGCAGTCATGGCTCAGCAGGGTCCTGCGATATCCAAGCTCTTACTGACCCCCGTGTGCATTGGCCCCCCATCTCCTGAGCAGGGAACGACCGTCCCGGCATTCCTATAAGCCTACCACGACATGCTCTTCGAGCCAACAAATACGAGAATAACAAAAACGATGCCCTTAGAAAAGAAGCCCGAGGGGTGAAGACCAGACGGTAACGCCCTTAGAAAAGAAGCCCGAGAAAGAAACCCGAGGGGCGAAGCCCGAGGGGGAAGCCCTTAGGAAAGAAGCCCGAGGGGTGAAGCCCGAGGTTCGAAGACCACCTCGTGCAGACCACGAGAGGCTCTGAGAACATTCTTTGGTGGGCCCATCGGCGAGCCAGGACGCTTCGCCACTGCGCGTGCCTGAGCCCCGAAAGCTCTGGACCCGAGCCGGCCGGCCGCGGCAAAGCCGGCCGCGGGCTGGCCGCCCCCTGGCGGTCCGACAGCTGCTGGCAGCACTGGGAGGCGTTGCCTTCGGGCCGGCCCCGCGCGCCAAGCGTCAGGTCGGACATGTCCCCCTACAGGCGGATTTCGGAGGGAAACTTAAGATCCTCAAAACATAGGCTCAAACATAGCACGCAAAAGTCGTCCCCGGACCCCCTCAGCTCGCCAACCAAAGCGAAGTTGAGCAACGTCGTAATTGAGTCGAAGGGAAGCCCCTTCCCTTCGATCCCTTCACCGCCAGGGGGGGGGGGGGGGTCCTCCTGGGGGGGGGTCAGATACGACGCCCCCCCGGGGAGTCCTGGAGCCCAAAAAAGCCCCAAGACGGGCCAAGAGTGCCCCAAGAGGCCCCAAAGACAGTCCAAGAGAACCCCGAATCGCCGAACGATCTGTCCAAGACGCCTTGACGGCCTCCAGACGACCTAAGAGGCCTGCAAAGCGCTCCAAGAGGCCTCCAGGAGCTTTCCCACGAGAGCCCCAAGAGGCAACATTCATGGATTTCCGATACGTTTTGAACAGATTTTGGCGTTCTTGCCTCTTCCGCTTCCCGACGCGCCAAGACGGCCCAAGAGGTCCCCAAGAGGGCCCTCGAGACGGCGCAAGAGGAGCCCTGGACGGCCCAAGACGGCCTCAAGAGAGCCCCAGGCTGTCCCAAGAAAGCATCTGGCCTCCTCCTCTTCCTCCTCCTCATCCTTCTCCTCCTCACCCCCCTCTGCTCCCCCTCCTCCTGCTCTCCTCGGCCTCCTTCTCCTCCTCTTGCTTCTCCTCCACATCCTTCTCCCCCCTCCTCCCCCTCCTCCCTCATCCACCTCCCCGACCATACCCCCACCTCCCACTCATCCTCCTCCCCCTGCCCCCCTCGTTTTCATCTTCGTCGTTCTCAGGATCGTCGGCTTTGGCCGTAAGGCCTTCGCAATAGCAACAAAAATCGTCCCCTGACTATGTCTTGACTATTTTTTGACTATTCCCCCCGTAGAGTCGCCGTAGAGTGACAGGACCGACTTAAGCCAAGCGGCGGGCGGCGCCCCCCACTGGCGGGCTGACGACGACGCCGCCGACGACGCCGACGACGCCGACGACGCCGACGACGCCGCCGACGACGACGCCGACGACGACGACGACGGCGACGACGCCGACGACAACGACGACGACGACGACGACGGCGACGACGACGTCGACGGCGAGGCTGGCGGCGATGGCGTGGCGTCGCCCGAGGGGGCCCCCGCCTCGGAGCGGCGCGGCGCCTGCGGGTACCCCTTCGGGGAAAGCCGTCGCCCCCCAGCCGCGGTGGGCGCCGCCGAACGGCGGGTGGCGCGCAGAGTCGGCTGCACTGGTCACAGGGCCTTCGCAATAGATAGAGACCTTCGTGGGCCCTGGAAACGACAAGGCCGTTCTTTTACCGGTTCCGTTTTGCCGTTTTTTGCCAGTTCCGACGCTGTTTCTTTACCGGTTCCGTCGCCGTTCTTTGACCGGTTCTGGCTCCGGTTCCAATGCTGGAGCCGTTTTTGTTGCCGTTTCCGGTCGCCGTTATTTTGCCGTTTCTATTTTCAAGGGACATGTTTCTGGAAACGTTGACAAAAATTGCCCTGCCGCTCCTGGGGCCCACTGAGATAGAGACAATACTCCCCGGCTTCCCCATATCTTTTCGCATGTCTTCTTGCCGTTCGTGTGCCCTTACACTTCCCATTTTTTCGCACTCATCTTTCCTGAGAGTCGACGCTTGGACCACCGCCAAGGATGCTAAGGTTGGCGGCGCGCACATGGGGGTTGGGGGGGAGGGGGGAAAGCTTTTCAGGAGGCTGCTTCTTAGAAGGCGCCGGCCTCGCCATCCCCAAACCCCTTAGCGTGATGAAACAAAAACGCGGGACTTGTTTCGCTATAGTTGCCCTCCTCTGGGCCCTTACAGGGCCTGGGGACCGTCGACAAAAACTATCGGGATGAAAAATCGGTCCCGGGGAAGGGGTCGAGACCATTTCGGAGAACAGCACGACGTCGGGGGTCTGGGTCCACAGATAAGGCCCGCGCCTTCCAAGAAGCAGGGGGGGCTTCTAAGAAGCCTTCCCCCCTCGCCCTGACCCCCCTCTGCGCGTGGCCGCCCGCCCCCCCCCCCCCCGCAGAGATCGGCCGCCTCGAGAAGATCGAGACGGGCGCTTCTTCCCAACCCTCCTGCGTTGGGTTCTCGTTTTGAGTAGGGCACTGCGGTCGCACACCTCTCCTACCTTCCCCTCCCTCCTCCTCCTCCTCCTCCTCCTCCTCCTCCGCCTCCTCCTCCTTCTCCTCCAACTATTCCTCCCCTCCTCCTCGTCCTCCTCCTCATTCCTGCTTCAAATTTCCTTCCGCCTGCATACTGTTTGCTCCCTCTTGCCTCGCGATGCCTCTTCCTCCGTACTGCTTCTTCGCGGGCTACTGGGAGGAACGGCGGAGTAGTGCAGTAGGCACACCCAGACAGGACCTCGCAGCATCATGGGTGGCTGTGAACTGCTCAGCTGGCGACACTATCGTGGGCTCCTGGGAGGCACGGCGGAGTCGCGCAGAACGCGCACCCGGACGGGACCTCGCAGCTCCATGGGTGGCTACCAGCTGTGCAACTGGCGCCACGCTCGTGGCCTCTTTGGAGGCACGGCGGAGTCGAAGAGTGCGCGCTCCCAGACAGGACCTCGCAGCTCCCTGGGTGGCTGCGATCTGCGCAACCTGCGTCACTCTCGTGGGCTCCTGGGAGGCACAGCGGAGTAAAGAATTACGCGGATCCAAACGGGACCTTGCAAAACTGCAAAACTGGAAAACTGCAAAACTGGCACCACTTTCGCGGGCTCCTGGGAGGCACGGCGGGGTAGCGGAATACGGGCACCCAGAGGGGACCTCGCAGCTCCCTGGGTGGCTGCGAACTGCGCAACTGGTGCAACATTCGTGGGCTCGTGGGAGGCACGGCGTAGTCGGAGAGTACTCGCACCCAGAAGGGGCCTCGCAGCTGCCTGGGTGGCTGCCAACTGCGCAACGGGCGCCACTGTCGTTGGCTCCTCCTGGGAGGCACGGCGGAGTCGAAGAGTGTGCGCACCCAGAGTGGACCCGTCGCGCACCTCGCAGCTCCCAGGGTGGCTGCGAGCTGCGCGACGGTCGCCACTTTCGTGGTCTCCTGGGAGGTACGGCGGAGTAGGGCAGTATGCGCACCCAGAGGGGACCTCGCAGCTCCCTGGGCAACTGCGAACTGCGCAACTGTCGCCAATTTCGTGGGCTCGCACGAGGTCCAGCGGAGTCGTGTACCCCACGGGTCCAGCCGAGACCTCGCGGTTCCCGGGAGGCTACGAAGTGCGCGACTGTCGCCACTCTCGTAGGATAGCGTGAGGCACTGCGGGGATGAGGGCAACTCAGATCGCGCATGTCTGGCGATGTGTGGGGTTGTATGGAGCCTTCATGCAACTACTCGCGTCGCGTGGAGAAAAAAGGGGTTGGCCACGTCGTGGGTAGGAGTTTCCCCTGCCCTCTTGCGATGGGTTGTCGTTTGAAATAAAGCACTGCGGCCACTTGTTCTTTTTTCCTCCCCTCTCCTCCTGCCTCTTCCTGCGCTGCTCCCTGGACGGCTGTGCACTGTGCAACCGTTCCCACTTTCATGAGCTGCTGGGAGGCACGGCGGAGTAGCAGAGTAAGCGGGCCTCGATGCTCCCTGCGTGGCTGCGAGCTGCGCAACCGTCGCCACTTTCGTGGGCTCCTGGGAAGTACGGCGGGGTGAAGGAGTAAACGGACCCAAGCGGGACCTCGCAGCTGCCTGGATGGCTGCCAACTGCGCAACTGGCGCCACTTTCGAAGGCTCATGGGTGGCATGGCTCAGCAGCGGAGTAAAGGGACCAAGGCGGGACCCCGCAGCTCTTGGCGGACTTCGAACTGCGCAACAGTCGTCACTCTCGTGGGCTCCTGGGAAGCACGGCGGGGTAGCGGAGGACGCGCACCTAGACGGGACCTCGCAACGCCATGGTTGGCTGCGAGCTGCGTGACCGTCGCCACTTTCGCGGGCTCCTAGGAGGCATGGCGGCGTCGCGGAGTACGCGGACCCAGGCGGGACCTCGCAGCTCCCCAGG